AATGGAAACCGAGGAGGGTAAGAAAGGGGACAGCACGCAGGAGGAAGAAGCCAATACGGTGACGGATTCTCAGGAGAACAGCGAGAAACCACAAGAATGTCCAGGCAGTTCGGCAACTCCGGAGGTCGAGGCAAAGCAGGAAGTGGGTGAGGAAAAAGATGGGTACATCAGGGAAGAGGTTCCGGCTAAATGGAACGAAGGAAAGAGAGAGATATTGCAGGGAAAATCACATGGCAATGAACGGGATGACGTTGAAGAGCAGAAAGCGGCGCCTACTGAAAGCAACGAAGTGTGTGAGCCATTGGGCGGCCAGGAAGAGAATCCGCGGTCTGTAGTGGAGAGTAAACCCATCACAGTTAACCGGGCAGAGGAGGTGGAAGTGGTAGGAAGGGAGGAGGGAGAGGGAGGGAGTGAAGCTCAGGAAGCTAAGCAATTGAGTATTAGTGAGCAGCAAACCAACAACAACAATGGGGAAGAGCAGAGGGCAGAAGGTGGGGAACGTGAGGAGTCAAGTGAAATGTCACACAAATTCAAACCTGGTAAGGCAAAGAGAAAGAGTAAAGATGATTGTTTAATGTCCTGAAAACTAACGGAAGCCATCGACTCAACAAATCATATCCATTCCATTGTCCGGTATACAATTTTATATTTATATATAGATATATATATACCCACACAAACATTCTAATCAGATTTTCATTTGATCGATCGTTCCGGCTATATTTTTGCACTATATTGACAGAGCGCACTACTGAGCTCGTTCTTCCTCACCCACTCTCTTGAGGGTAGGTGGGGCCGGGGAGGTCTATTCTCTGCAGCAAGGTTATGTCTGCACAAAAGCTCGGCTGGATACATTTTCCCGGCAAGCGGAGGGATCTTAAAACCCCTGTTACTCCCGCCGTTATCATCCAGACCCTTAACCCGTGTCAGGTCAGATCAGGCATTCCTGCTGAAAGCCGTCAAGTTGTTGTTTAAGAATATGTCAGTGACTCAAAAGGAAAGTTTCCCTGTTTGGGGAAACACCTCTCTTTTTAACACGTTCCCCGGTGGTTATCATTCAGCCCCTTTCGATTGCACTGTTTTCCGTTGAGGGTCAAACGCTGAGCAAAGGCTACTTGCAAGAACTAGCATCTAGAAACGCACTAAAGTCCCTACTTGTTAATTATAGGTTCTCTATAACAAATATCAGCACTGTTAAAGGAAGTGACCTGTGCACTATACTGTGCAGAGTATTCCACTGAACTGATCACCAACAACAACAAGAAATTGCCCGGTTGTGCCTTTAGCGTTTCTGTCCCCAGTCTCTGGAACTCCATCCCGGAGCCCCTCTGCCTTGCCCATTCCATTATCTCCTTCAAGGCGCGTCTCAAGACCTTTTTATTTGACGTGCCTTTGATCAACTTCCCTCCTCCACCTTCCCTGCCCTCTTGACTGCAGCTTGCAGCTCGAGTGCAAACCCTTCACTATCCAGCGCCTAGGGACAACCTCCCAACGTGAAAAGCGCTAAATAAATGCAATTTGTTGTTGTTGTTGCATTTATGTAGCGCCTTTCACTTCGGGAGGACGTCCCAATCGCCAGATTACTTAATTATATTTCCATGCTTACAGTGCGATGCTCGCTGTTTTCCATGTATCCCTGAGATTTATTACACAGCATAACCCCAAGTGTACAAGACACATGCGGTTCAAACTCACCAGGCCATCACCTTGCACCACGGCTGTAGGTTTGTCAGTGAGAGAATTAGATGAGGAAATGATGGCGGTGGGGAAGCTGTTACCAATGCACTGAAATGTGTCAAAGATGTCTGATTTCATGTTGTGACATAACCTGCAGAGGAATGAGCTACTTAGAATTTTTTACAGAAAGTTTTTTTTAAAATGTGCCTTGTGGTTACACAGCTGAGGTGTTTTTTTTATAGCAGCGTAAAGCTGGGCTCTGTAATTAGGAGACTGTTTAAGAGTTGAGCTTTGCTCCAAGCAAACCTAACCGCCACATGTAGAACTTGCGTGATGCTGATGTGTTGCTTCTTCAATAAGATGAAACCTGAATAAAAACGTGAATCTTGCATGTGTGTTGTGGACTGTTCTCAGTGTTGGTTTATTCCAGTTTACAAGTGTGTCAGAATAAGATACTAGGGGAGGGGAAGGGGCATGTTAGCCCATGCATCCTAGCTAAACATTGGCCTCATTGGATTTCTTACCCTTTCCTTCTGTGTAGCAATTATTTTAGCCTTGAGGTGGCTGAGTGGTTTAAATTGCTCTACCTGGTGTGGGAGCGAGCATGCATAGAGCAAACAGGACCAGAGATGTCCTGGGTTTGATCCTTGGTCCTTGGTCTGTGCTGAGTTACAGCTGGTCTATCCAGGACAGAGGTGGGGAGAGTGTGACAAGTGGCCTCAGGTGAGCCTGGTCGCTTAGTAGGTGCAATGAGGACAGGACCAGAGTTGGCTGTGATGCCCTCTGTGGTCACCCAACATCTGCCAACACTCTGATTCAACTCTCCTAGCAGAAGCTCACACAAGTCCATGGAAACTCCCAGGAAGAGTCCAGGCTGGGGAAGGAAATTATCTGATCAGACTTTGTTAAGCTTCTCGCAGTGCACGATTTTCTCTTGGACACAAGAATGGAAGAATTTCCAAATGCCAGTGATTTAAACGGCACTCCCATCCCCACCCCTTTCAGGTTATTGTAGGAATGCGTGCCATCATGCAAACTAATCAATTCTCTTCTCTTCAAATATTCTTGGGTGAGGATGTGCTCGTTACCAGCCATCCACCCCATGCCCAAGAGTTATTAAATCGTGTGTCAGTGAACATCTCTGAGGAACCATCAGCGGGTCACAAGGTCATGTAAGTTGCTTCCGTTCATATCGGTAGCTTTGCTCGCCTTGCACCCTCCATCTTCACCTGTATCCGTGGAGGTGAGGGGCTCTTTCTCTTCACTCTTCTTGGGCTAGTCTGAATAAGCTACAGTATCAAGTAGTTCATCCTTTCTGGTGGCATTCGAGGGCTCTCTATTTAAACCATTCTCTCTCTGTGATTGGGTTGGGCTCTGATCTCTGCTTTTCTCGCTTGCTGGCTTGTTTAATTGTACTTTGTTTAGTGCCTTCATGAAATGTTTTCTTAAAAGACTTGTGTCCTGAAATACCACCCAATCTTTAAAGTCAAACTAATTTGTTTTAAAATTTAAGATATTGATCGTAGAATTGTGGAACATTTTTAAATTTGTTAATTTGGAAACGGTTTACCACAGTTCTTATTAAGAAAAAGCTTCCAAATTAAGACTTTTTTTACACACAATTCTGCCCGACCTTAAATTTTAAGCCAAAACTGAACTTGCTGGGTAACACTAGGAGGGATTTCAAGCTCTTCGTTGGGCTTTGCTTGACCTGTCGACAAATGCTAGGACTTTGCCCAAGTAACCCGAAATTAATGCCACTCAAGCCCTCATCTAATGCAGAGCTACAGGTTTAGTGTTGAATCCCAGCATATGTCAACATTTCAATGCTCCTAATCACATTCATCCCAAGATTCATCCCCGAGTTTGCTCAACATAGGAAGTACTGATTTTTGACTGTTCTATTGGATCAAGGCCTGGTTCATGGAGGGAGATGGACTGTTGGCCTTCCAACTCTACTCCGCCTGTCTCATTGAAAAGAAGCAAAGGGCTGTTTTATTCCTTTATCTTTTTAGGATGAAACAGCATCAAAGCCCAGCTCAATAATTCAGATTGTAGTAAATTGCGTTACAAAGCACCAATATTATACAACTGCTGAACAACAGAGATATCTGGAAATTGAGATGGCGTGGACAGGCTTTAAACAAGCCAAGTTGTTTGATTCAGTCGGTGATATAAGGCAGTCCTATCATCTCTCCTTGGAACTTGAATGGTGTTAGTGACTGAAATGCAATTGTCATTACAACAGAATTTGTGATGTTCTTGCATGGTGTACTGTACATATATATGAAGTACGTTTAGTGAATCTTTACTTGACAAAATGACTGGAGTTCAATGTATCCTGATATGGTGGTGAGAGGGAAAGAATGGTCATAGAAGAGCAAGTGATAGACTGGTCAAACGGAGTGCACAAAGAGAGAACATGTAATTTTGTTCTGTGTTAAATGTGTTTGAACGATTAACTGTGCTTTGTGAAATTCCATTGTATGCCCTTTAATACAGTGTTGTGTGGGTCAGATACCTCTCAGGGAAATCTGAATCCTGCTGCTTACACAATGTTCAACACTTGCTGTTGGATCTTACAGTTGAATCTTCAGCATGCATTGCGCTGTCTCTTAGCAGCTTAGTAGCCACCTCCCCTGCATCTTACACGTGCTGCTTCACAGACTGACTGCACGATCACAGCATTGAGGCGTTTGAGTAGTTTAATAGATTATTGTATATTGTTGCAAAAAACGTGTATGTTGCAAATCCATATTGTGCAATAATCTAGTTATAACACACCTGCTGATCTCTTCAGTGAAATCTATCCAGAACTGGGGAGATAGGAGGGGGAAGCATTCATTTACACAGTAATAATGGCTCTGAGCTTGGAGTTCAGTACATTGGAGGGGAAATCACACCAGGATGTGAACAGTGTTCCCTGAATGTCATTGTGCATGCACAGGTTTGGGTTAGAAGTCTTCTCTCAGTTTCCGTCTCTTGTCTGAGGGGTCGGAAGGTGTGTTATAATTGTTTTGATGCTAACCCACGTTATAAGTTGTGTTTGACCCTAGAGAATGTTGCATGCTAAACTAAATAGAAGATTAAACTGTGTGCATGCAGCTAGTGGCAACGGGCATTTCCAATGACGTGAACTAAACCTTGGCTGAACCTTCCCATATCTGTGGTACGTGAATAACTACATTCAACTTTGTACAACTAACCTCAACATTCCTTCATTTTATGTTCTCTTTTTTGATATTAAATGTTCGACTTCTCTCAGATTCTTCAATTATAATTTGCCTTTTCTGTGTTCTGTTTTTTTTCTTTTTATCCCCCAGATTTTAGGCTGAGAAAATTATTAGATGAAAGAGATGTACTGTTAGAACAGGTAACTTTCTACATTCTTCTTGCTCAGAGCTAGGTTTTCCTTCCTGCTTTCATCAAAAACTCTTTCAAATATCTTGTATCTTGTTTTATTTTTTAAAAAAAGATTGTCTTTTCTCCTCTCCTCAAATGTGCTGACTAGAGCCACAGTCAGGTCCTCTTGTCAAAGTGCTCCGAACATTATCCTATGTGAAGGCTGCTATATTAGTGCAAATTGTTGTTGTTGTTGTGTTGACTCATTCCAGGTATAGATTCTCATTCCAACGTGCTAACTCGTGCCAGATGCAAGGTCTCGTACCAGGGCCCAATTTTTATCTATCGAGTTTAGACAATAAAGATCATTAAAATCATTAGACTATGGAGCTGCCTGGATATTCACATGAGGACAAGGATCACTGGAAAGGAACTCTGTCTGACGTTTCCTCCCTAGCCCAGGGACGTCAAAGCCAACTAAGAGAGACCTGAGTTCAATTCCAGACAGGGCGAAACCTTGGGCAAGTTTCCTTACTCCACACGCCTAATAATAATCCCTCCAAAAAAACAAAACAATAATAAATTGGTCATTTTCAATTTACGACTGTTTCTGGGATATTGCTGTGTGCAATTGGCTGCCGCGTTCGCCCACAAATATACAGTCAATTCACTTTACAGTATATTCTGTGAAGCGCTTTGGGACGTCTAGAAGATGTGAAAAGCGCTATATCAAATGCAAGGATTATTATTATTATGATGCACTAGCTGTGATCAGCTAACTAACTGCCCAAATCATACAGCAAGGCTTGGCTTTACACCAGCTCGGCATAATTACCAATTAAACCACCAGGGGAGCTATGTTTCCTATTGAATGTATATGGGATTCAATGTAGAGTCATGCTAATCAGTGTAAAAGTTCTATAGAGTTATAGTTGTAACAAAATATGTGTTTCTTTCAGGTTAAAAAATTAAAAGCACAGATTGATGATAAAACGAAGAATGGGAAAGTGGATAATGTCATGTCGGATGATGCAATCTTACAAAACGGGACTGACCTGCAGATGATTGAAGTGCAAAGTGAGCTTCTCATCCGTGTTTCTCTGGCCAATATAATCTATGTTAGTATTAGTGGCAGCAGGCTCAGTTGGTAGCAGTCTCACCTCTGAGTAAGAAGATTGTGGATTCAAGCCCCACGTCGGGATTTTGAACTCAGTCTAGGCTGAGACTCCAGTGCAATGCTGAGGACACGCTACATTGTTGGAGGTGCCGTTGTTTGGATGAGATGTTAAACCGAGGTCCATCTGACTGTTTAGGTGGACGTCAAAGATCCCATTGACATCCTTCAAAAAGAGGAGGGAGTTTCTCTTGATGCCCTGGCCTACAATTCACCAGATAGAATTAGTAATTTCCTTCACGGCTGATTAGAGTCCTGTAGCATATTGATTAGACCACTCGCCTCGCAAGCAAGAGGACCTGGGTTTGATTCCCGGGCAGGGCGAAACGTTAGGCAAGTTTCCTTATTCCACGTGCCTCTGTTTATCTAGCTGTAAGTGGGAGCCCGGTTGTTAGTCGATTGGAGGATTGCTTTTCTGGGGGTAATAATCCCTTCAACAAAAATAAAAAATAATAAGTTGGTCACTCAATTCACAACTGTTTGTAGGACACTGCTGTGCGCAGTTGGCTGCTGCGTGCCACCCTCAAAAGTACGTAATAAATTCACTTTACAGTATATTCTGTGAAGTGCTTTGAGATGTTTCAAAGACATGATAAGGCACTGTATCAAATGCAAGGATTATTAATATTATTGTGGGATATCACTGTGTGCAATTTGGCTGCCACATTCGCCCACAAGTACAAGGTCACTACACTCTACAGTAAAATCCTGTGAACCACTTTGAGACTGGTCGACACGGTGAACTTACGATTCGGAAACGTTGACCATTTTTATTGCAAGGCCATTTATAAAGCAGGGTCTAATTTTTATGGACCCAAACCACTCTGTTTTAATAGGATCTGACTGCATGTTGTATTACATACTGTTATTACTGTCTGATTTGAATGCAATCAGTCATTGAGCTCTGGTGTCATGTCTCCTTTTTTGCAGGAGATGCCAACAGGCAAGTCAGTGAATATAAATTTAAACTCGCAAAATCCGAACAGGAAATAATCGCTTTGGAACAAAATGTAAGTTTGTGACACTGCAAGGTGAAGTTTTATATCTGCGAGCTTCCTAGTTTAACTGCTGCCTGGTTTGCTGGCTACCATCTTAATGCTGCTTTTATATTACACATGAAGCAGTGAATTGCCCCAGGTTGTTGCAGCAATTTACCACCAGACACAGCCCAATGCAGATCACACTGGAGTCCTGCTCTTGGCACAACCTGGAGATGATTCACAGAGCAGGCGATTTTCACAAATATACTTCACAGTATAGATGTGGCGCATTAATCAGTGGCCATTGGGATTAGTGAATGAGCGTTGGGATTAATCAATAAAAAATTACATTAATCAATGATCATTGGGATTAGTCAAAGGGCATTAGGATTGGGTTGAGTCAGTGAGTGTTCAGATTTGGTTACATCAATGAGAATTGGGTTGGGTCAGTGGAATTGGGGATACGATTGGGTCAGTAGATATTGGCATTGAGTTAATCAGCCTTGTCCCCTGTAACTACTATCATGTAAGATTTACAGTTCACTATATGTGATCACATTGTTTCTCTAATGTTTCTTTGGTGTGGGGGAAATTGTGATATTTCAGATAATTCGTCTTGAAAGTCAAGTGTTGCGCTACAAAGGTTCCGCAGAAAATGCAGAGAAAGTGGAAGATGATCTCAAGGCAGAAAAACGGAAACTCCAAAGAGAGGTAACTCTAATAATATATACAGTAATATCACTGAGATTGGTGGACTTTCATTTTCAGTATATTCCTGTGCACATTCCAACGTGGTTTGACCAGCCGCCAAGTTGGAATCTGGTGTCTGAACGGCTTAATTATTACTCACTGAAGAAGTGAAACGATGCTTTAAAAAAAGGCAAAGTATAGATCACACAGTGGTAACGTTCTGTGGGAGTATTCCAGCAAAATACCTACAAAATACATAGTCGCTGTACTTTACAGTAAGTCTTCTGCAGCACTTTGAGATGTCCTCCCAACATGACAAGTGCTACATCAAATGTATGGATTATTAATACCTCCTTGAGTAACCCCCTCTCTCCTACAGTCTACAGCTGGTTATCACTTGCCCATCTCTTAATGCAGCTCCACATTATACTCTTTTCTGTGTGAGAGGTGCACAGCGTAAAAATGGCACACAAGAAATTGAATATTTAAAAAAAAGACTCTTGACGCGCCTCTAGAAGTCCGCTTTGCTTCAGTTTGACCAGAATTCAGGAGACCAGAGACTTGTGGCTCAATCTGTTAGCTTGTGAAAAAAAAGGCCCTAATAATCTTAAAAATCCTTAATTGGACCCTAATGGGTGTCTTTGGTTCCTTTAAGTCTCCTGCCCTCACCAGTCGCTTTCCCTGAATATTTTGTGCTTGCTGCTTCAGAAGTGTTCATCATGTGTATGCACATCCATGCAGACAAATACACACATATGTGACTCTGGACTGCTTGTATCATGACAGGTACGTTCGGCACTGGATAAAATCGAAGAGCTGGAAATGAGCAACAGTCATCTGGTAAAGAGACTGGAGAAGAAGAAAGCCAACAGGAGTGCCCTGCTTTCTCAGCAGTAGCAGATTACTTCGACAATCCATGGCGCCCGTTGGATGCCTGCAGTGTAAACCTTATAAAAGTTTCCACGAGACACTTCCCTGTACCACACACACACACATATGCACACCGCTGATGAGAAAAAACACATAAAATGGAGAAAAAACCACATAAAACGGAAAAAAGCACGCACGTTTTCCGACTAGCCACTTTTCACTCTTGTTTCTGAGACAGTTTCAAGTCGGGACCTCTGCCGGAGAGCATTTAGTCTAGGTGATTTAGCTTAACTTTTAACAGGAAGTTCTCTCCTAAGCAGAGCACTGCTTTTTTTTGTTGTTTTAAATGTAGGTTAGCCGTTGTGCAGAGAGCACCGATTCACTGCATCAAGTTACCGATTTTAAGCAGCAGTCTCTGAAGTCACTCCGAGCATATTATATTTATTTGTGGTGCAGGAAGGCTGGTCTGGTCTCGACAGGTAGAGGGATTGGGAGAGACCGTGCGTTTTGAACCCATCGATAATGTGGGTTGTGTCGTTGCTCTCCCCATAGTGTCCATATCTATTTTATATTCTTGCCACATTTTGCCAAAGTTGTTTGGCTGGAAACCACAACTGATGTTTTTTGCTTCCGAAAGAATTTATTGGGATGCCTGAATCTCTTTGGAGAATCGGAACATTGAATCGCATGAAATCTCCTGCCATCCAGATCGCCAGCGACTGGCTGCTCAGCGTGATGTCCCTTCCAACACTCGCGACACAATGACAGTGTTGAAGTCTATTTTAAAATGCTGCAATAATTGAGGATTGACTCAAAATTTAAAACATTGCTTTGAGCTTATTTATACAGGGGATTAGCAAATCGTTTCAGCTATTAAAATGAAAACCTACTTTGAGTGATGTTGTACAGACTAGGGTGGGGTGGTGTGGGTGGGAGGGTGCAAAGAGGGGGAGTGAGAGAGAATGCTGCTTCAAACTGTATTTTATATGGAAGGAAGAGTCGAGTAGTTTAAAAGAGTTTGCTCTTAACCTGTGAGAAACCTGTGGCAGAGGTGTGCTCCAGCAAATGATTGTGTTTCCACTACAATGCACAATAGTAGGTGGTTGTCCTTGGGTTGGGGTAGGTAGAGGGATCTTAAGAAAGTAATGAAATTCAGGCTTTCACCAAAAAGATCTGATCATGTGCCATCCGCTAGGATTTGGGCTTGAGTTTAACTGGCATCACTACAAGGAATACATGGGAGGGGGGAATGGGGATACCAGGAGGGTACATGATGGGAGGAGGGGGCTGTTCGCTCTGGGATGCAGTGCCTGGCAGCAAGGCCCATTTCAGTGTTCGTTTCATTTGCCGGTTTACTTGACCTTAACCCGCTGAAGATTAAGTGCCATCAGCAGTACACTAGTTCACGAGGTAATATTTTCCAACCCCCTGGTAGAATGTCTCTGGTGACATTGCTGATCTTATCTACAAATCTTTGACTGAGCTAGAGATACAAATGCAACCAGACTTCTTGGTCTGAATACACGATCGGAAAGGTGAAAGTGTGTTCAAGTCAAGGTTGGGGTGGGGGGGGGTAAGGGCACAATATTTTTTGATGCATTGAAAGTGAACAGGACTGCTCGTTCAATTTTAAAAAAATGAAGTTTTTTCCATAATGGAAAATGACAGCAGTAACGTTAAAATGTTAAATAAAACAGGTCTTTGGAATGATTTAATATATGTACATACTGTAGCTTTTAAAGAAAGAATTACTTTTTTCACGCGTGTACGTGGCGGGTGTTCACTCATGAACAGATTGCAGATCAGGCGACTTGCTGTTTGTTTTCCTTCTACAAGCATGTTAAGCTTTCAGCTTTAGGAAGAAGAGTTGACGGAGTTATTTCCTGTTTGGGTATTTCACTGGTTCATTGGATTTTTTTTAAGAATGAAGAGATTCCAGGGTGTGATCTGTTAAGTAACGGTTACTGCACACCACTGCTGTATTAATGGTGCCACTACATTCTCAAAGGTAATAAAGCCTTTTAGAGAGACTTTCTTTGTGTGATTTATATTCTTTGTCATTCTTGGATGCTGGTCTGAGGTGAAAGTGCAAGGTGCAGCCCTTGGGCAAATTATAATAATACTTTTTTTAATATAGGCCCATGTCTTCATAAAAAAGCACACTCAAGCATGTGTTATATCTTATAATTTGGGCTGTAACTTTGATTTGATTTTTGGAAGATTGTGGGTTAGTCATGATAGACATATCCAAGTTATAAACAAGTTACAAGTGGGGTGGTGGCGGGGCCACTACATTGCCAGAGATGCTGTCCTGCGAATTAGACATTGACATTCTGTATGCTTCAATTCCCCAATCTGATTCATTGCTAAAACTACTTTCCTGTTTATGCCCTCATCTTACACATTCCCTGCCATACCCCTCTATGCTATTGCCCCCTCAAGGTTAGTCTTTTCCAAAGCTTATTGTGGGTTTCCCTAGCTCCACCCTCCAACTCATCCAAGCCTTTGCAGGCCATGTTCCTATCCTTGTCAAGGTCCATTGGCTTCCAGATTGATTTCAAGTATATTGGCCTTCAAATCGCTTCACAAGCTCAGCTCTCTCACCCCACGCCATTACCTAAATCTTTTGAAACCCTGTTCTCCTACGAGTACTTGATGCTCTTCTGCTTCTGGTCTATTGCTGGCTTCTCACTCCTTCAGCACCACCATCTGTGGCTGAGTATTCAACCTCCAGCAACCTTATAAATCAGTCTTCATGTAGAGGAACATATCTGAGTCAGAAGGTGGTAAGTTCAAACTCCACATCACGGCTTTGAGCTCAGTCTAGGTTGACACTCCAGTTGAGTGCTGAGGAAAGCGCTACGTTGTCGGACATGCTGCCCTTCGGATGAGATGTTCGAACGGGTGTTAAATTAGATCCCATCATCACAGGCAAAAAGAAGTGCAGGGACACGGGAGATTTCAAGATCCTCATCCTCACCTACAAGGCCATTCACGGCCTCGCTCTCTCTGACCTACTCTCCCCCTACTTACCTGCCCGTACCCTCCGTTCCTCTGGCTCCGGTCTGCTCCACATCCCCCGCCCCAACCGCCCTACCATCGGTGGTCGGGCCTTCAGCCTCTCAGCCCCGAGGCTCTGGAACTCTATCCCCCAGTGCCTTCGCCGCCTCCTCCCTTTCCTCCTTCAAGACCTTTCTCTTTGACCGAGCCTTCGGCTCCCCTCTCGACTCTCTACCCCCTCCTCGCTCCCTCCCTTCCCTCCCCTCCGCCCGGACCGTTTCCACCCAATGCTCGGGTCCTGACCCAACTGTACAGCGCCTTCGGACGTCCTCCCGACGTGAAAGGCGCTCTATAAATGGAATTTTGTTGTTGTTGTTGTTATTGAGAAGCGCCCATCTCTTCAAATTAGTGCAGGCAGACGACACGGGGCCTCGGTTTAATAACGTCTCATCTGAAGGACAACACCTCCGATGTCACAAGTGCTCGAGCACTGCATTGGAGCGCGATCTCAGACCGTGAGATCAAGTCCCAGTGCAGCGCGAGGAACTCCCAAACTTCTGACTCAAGAGACCCAACACTGCCCTGGAGCGAGGCTGACCTGGTGCACGTGGAGAGGAGCACGTGGTGCTTCTGCCGCCCCAGACCCGCCCACTCACGGGGGCTCGTGACGCGCTTATGAGTGACACCTCCGACCAAGCAGCATTGGCCGAGGTAAGTGGGGAGGGCGGGGCGTACCTGTGCCTGAGCCAATGAGGGTTGGCGAGTTGGGTCCCGCCCTCGCCTCGCCTCGCCCCGGGATCAGTCTGACTTCCGGCGGCGTGGCGGGCGGGTCTTCGCGCTCGAGGCGGCGGCGGAGCGACGCGACGCGAGGGCTCCAGGGGATTGACGGTTACACAGCGGCTGTCGTGGAGGGCCGGGGACGGGGCCCATCAGCCCCCGCTTAGCGAGGAGGGATACTCCCGGTAAACTGTGAGGTTAACGGGGGGAGGATTGGAGGCAGACTCAGAGCAGGTTTGGGACACACGAGGGGCTGGTGAGGTTTGTAAGGAAAATGGCTGCCCTCAGTTTGACATAGCTTTGGGTGCCGGGCCCCCTGGGGAGGGCGCGGCAGAGGAGAAACCTCTGTAAATTTGCATTCAGATTACTAACCAACAGCCACAGCAACCTGGTTGTTAGTCGACTGGAGGAGCGCTTTTCTGGGGTAATAATTCCCCCCCCAAAAAATAATAATAATAATAAATTGGACACCCAATCCACGACTGTTTGTGGGAAACTGCTGTGTCCACTGCTTGGCTGCTGCGTTTCGCCCACAAGTTGTACAGTCAATTCACTTTACAGCATATTCCGTGAAGTGCTTTGAGACGTCTCAATGATGTGATAAGGTGTCATAATCAAATCAAGTATTATTATTATTGCCGATGCTTCACAGAAACGGGTTGTTCGACCGAACCTAACCTGTCTGAGCGTGGCAGCAAACTAGCAAATTGGCACATGGCAGCCCTTCATCAAAGGCTGTGAAGGGAACTTGTCTATCCGGGGGATTGTTGGCCAGGACACCGAGAGATATTTCCTTCTGTTTGCAAATCAGATAACGGGATCTTTAACACCCACCTAAACAAGCAAAGGGGACATTGGTTTGAAGCCTGATCTAATGGAATATCAACCTGGACTCTGTAAGCAAAGTCCTCGCATGGGACTTAAACACACAACATTCTGATTCAGAAACAAAAGTGTTACTAACTGAGCCAAGCTGACATGCTTTCAGAATGAATCTTTCTACTTTTTGTATAAATTGGACAAAGTCTCAGCATATAGCTATCAGTCTGTCTCTCGCCTCCGAGTCAGAAAGTTGTGGGTTCAACCCCTGCGTTAGGACTTTAACTCTCCAGTGCAGTGCTGGAGGTGTGCCACATTGACGGAGCTGTCCTTCAGATGAGAGTTAAACTGAAGTTCTGTCTGCCTGTTCAGGTGGACGTTCAAGAATCCATGGCACTATTTTGAAATTGAATGAAGTTTCTCTTGTGTGTTTTTAAATTATTAATCGTAAATTTTTGTATCCATCCCTAAAATGTTAACATTTTAATTTCACAATGGAACTATTTCTAGCACTCAGCAGAATATAGTCTGAACCCTCAGAAGATTTACAGAAATTTGGAATGTCTTCAGAACTCAACCAGTAGGTATATTCTGTGTAAAATAGCAGTAGTTATGGGAATTGGGACTATTTGTTTAAGAAGAACCTTGATAAAGAGGTTGCCTTATGAGGGCAGACACCTCTGACTTCAGGACTGCAAATGCCTAACTAGCATTTGTTATTCTTAAAAGTTAATAAGAGTAATCCATTCACCTTCTGTTTTGACTAAAATACACAGACTAGAAGAGCCACCAGAAGTTGGTGACCTTTTCCTTTTTCAGAAGTGTCTTGCCTAAAGTGGTTGTTCAAACCAAAGATCCCAGGTCACATCGGGCTAGAATTAATTAATATTTTGATCTGATTAATATGCCTTCATCTCTGAGGGTTCTCTGAACTTAGTCAAAGCTAGTAATCTGGTCTGACTTCCCATTGCAATTTTTTCTATGTTGGAGAGAAGTTTTTTTTGTAGCTTTTCATGATAATGAGAGAACTGGTAAAGTTTGATAGCTCTATGTGTTTGTTTATCTTATTTCTACCTAGATCAAGAATGCCTACATTTTACTGTATTTGGCCTTGTGACAAGTGTGATTACTGCAACACTTTAGGTGTGCGGAAATGTAGGAATTGTGGTGAGCCATTGAAAGGGGCAGAGCAGCCTATGTATCTGGAAGGTAGGTGCGCTGAAATAACTGTCCTTGTAGAATCTAAAAGAAAGTCTTCAATTAACCAACTGTATTTTCATAGTGTCAACTCTCCTTTTTTCAGCCCATCCATTTTTTTATGTATCTCGAGATGTGGGCGACACTGGCAGGGCCACCATTTATTGTGTCTCCTTGGTATTCTGTTCAGTATTGATACTACCCTAAATGAATATGCCCTAATGCCACCTACCTTACTTATAACTAACTCCTTTTGCTTTCTGTTAATGATTATTAAGTGCTGGCCATAATTATTTTACTTGCCTCATTGTGGCTTGTGGGTTTTTAAGTCAATGAAGGGAGCCTGGTGCTCATTTTGTCACATTTTGCCCCCGCTTGCAGAAAGCCAGTCAGCTGCTCCCACAAAGAACAGAATGGACTTACTTGTGCAAGTACGTTCGGTTGTGGATCAAGAGGTCGGCAAAATTCCATTATTGCAAAAATGGATAACAAGATTTTCATGCTTTGAAATTGCAACATGTCAGGGTGCCTTATAGGCGAGACAAAGCTGTATTGAAGTGTGATAACAGTTTCCCTGTGTGGAAAACATAGTGATCGCTCGGGGCTCCGGCCTGCTTCATGTCCCCTGCCTTACCCGCCCCACCATTAGCAAGCGGGCCTTCAGCCTCTCTACCCCACCCTCTGGAAATCCATCCTGCAATCTCTCTGCCTCGCTTCCTTCAAGACCCTCCTCTTCGACCATGCTTTTCAGTCGCCCTCCTACCCCTACCCGCTCTGCCCTCCACCACTCCTGATCCCAACCACCAACTTGGGTGCAGATGCCTGACTGTCCAGCACCTCGAAACGTCCTCCTGACGTGAAAGGTGCTATACAAATGTAATTTATTTTTGTTGTTGGATGGTTATATCATTCCCAGGTAATTCTTTTAAACTAGATGTCATCAGGATATTCATGTTTTAACAAAAATATTCAAAAGCTTACCAGGAAATAAGAGAGAAAAAGAAGCTTTAAATGTTAAACATAATCATTTGTAACTCATTTTTAAATGGTAATAATAATAATAATCCTTGCATTTGATATAGCGCTTTTCACGTCTTCTATAAGTCTCAAAGTGCTTCACAGAATATACTGTAAAGTGAATTGACCATATATTTGTGGGCGAAATGCGGCAGCCAATTGCGCACAGCAGTGTCCCACAAACAGTCGTGGATTGAAAATGACCAATTTATTATTGTTTTTTTGGAGGGATTATTATTAGGCGTGTGGAGTGAGGAAACCTGCCCAAGGTTTCACCCTGCCTGGAATTGAACCCAGGTGTCTTGCTTGCAAGGCGAGTGCTCTAACCATTGAGCTACAGGACTCAATTGCAATCAGATAAAGCTCTTTTGACAAACTATACTGCTGTCCTCACAATCCTCTCACATAATTTGTTTCTTTGGAAGCACTTTGTTAAGTAAGTTCAGTGCTTAATATCACGTTATCCCATAAATAATGAATAAAACAAAAACTAACGAGAGAAGTTTAGTGCAGGCCAAGCCCTGAACAGATTTTGAAGTTGAGTAGAAATGGGATTGTAGAATGTAAACATTTTATTTATTACACTAAAAAGTCTTGTGAATTTCCTAGATAAGAATATGCTTGAAGCACACAACCAGAGAATCCTTACTTCTTGTCCAAAAGCAGCAAAAGGTCTCCTGTGCTTCACAACAACTAGAACTCCTTGTACTGTGAACCAGCTGATGGGTGGAGAGGGTGACTGTGCAAAATCCACCAAACAACTGTTTGACTATGAAGACAGCATAAGCTCCCTTGATACAGGGTCCAAGATTCAGTTTAGCGAAGAAATCGTAAAGGCAAGCCTCGAGCTTTCAAAATCTTTGGACTCTGTTTATGAAGCAAATCAAGATGTGAAAGGAAATAGCACGTTTTCAGACCTTGAGCAAGGAAAATGTCTTGAAGTGGGGTTAGCAATGGAAATCTCACAAGAAATGAATTTGTCCTTGGACACAGAGTTTGACATGTACAGAAAGCTGCATGTAATGTCACTAAAGCAGGCAGTTGGCAATGGCTGTTTTCAGGAGTGTAAAGGAGAACGTTTGCAACAGTACTTTCCAAAATGTAATGTTTCTGAGTCACTAGATGGTTTAGATCAGGAAACACTTCCTGATTATTGCAGCATGGACAGCACTGAAAATTACATTCGGTTCGATGACGACAATAATTTGCGGCATGAACAGATTTGCACTGAAATGCAAAATCCAACACCATTCTCTGACTTTCAGAATCCTGCAAATTTGAACTGTTATTCAGACTATCCTATTCGGGTCGAAGAAATAGATGAAGCCTCTTTTTTTTCTGCTGTCACTTCAGCGCAGAAATCATTTGTAAATGAGGACAGTGCTTTTTCTATTCCTGCAGAAAGATCATCTGTAGAACCCTTTGTAGCCTGTAAATCATCAGGAAGCCCAGAGGTTGATGTTGAAAATAATGTGATCGATCATTGCAGGACTGACCTCGATAAATCAATTGACATTCAGACTGAGCTCTTATTACCAGATTGCACTACTCCAAGTCAACATTATATTCCTTGTCAAATAGAGGAATTTGCTAATGACCACTTTGACGGTGCGACACCAACAAATGCTGAATTAAATGTAAGAGCTGACATTTTCGTCCCTAGCACATTTTCAAAAGCTGAGAATTGCATACAAAGTGAAAATGACTCAAAACAAAGCAACAGTTGGGCACAATATAGTATATTGTCTACGTATGGAACTATAGATGACTCCTGTGAATCCGCTGTACTTGACACTGAGGTCTCAAGAGATGCAGATCAGCTGAAATTATTTGAAGACTCATTTGTGTCAGCTGCTGGTGATAGCATAGTCTTCGGTTCAGAACTCAACTGTGATGCAACTAGCCACATGAATGACCTCTGTATACCATTAACTATGACTGGAGGCAATAATAAATCTGTCAATTGTGAATACCAGACATCAGAATTTATAACTGGAGATGGCACTTTAACTGAAGAAATTTCTGTTGGCACCAAAGTGAAACATGCTTACTGTTCCAGCACAGATATTATCAAAATAGACCAGGGTATTGATGCCTGTACTGACTTTCGAGTTAATTTTACCATAGACAAAGCCACTATGGCCAAGAGTTCTGTAATTAACAAAGCTGAGAACACAGATATAACTTTGATGAGCAAAAATAGACCAACTCTAGGTCAAAGTGGAACATGCAGGAGTGTTGCTTGTAACACTAAGTGGTCTACTATTGCATTTTCTGCGAAAGCACAAAATACCCAGACAACTGAGATTGGTACAGAGGAGAAATGCACCAATACTATCTTGCAGACAACTGATTTAAATTCATACTTAAAGGTACAGTAACATTTGTAATGTGCAGTACTAGATACTTTGGGTTAATGTCTAGTTTTTCCTGGCAAAGTAATACATGTAACTAGCAAAATCAGAAGGAATATTTTGGCTTGAGACTTCTTAGTTTTGAAATCCAGTGTGTTTCCAGCATTTGTGCCTTCAAGAGTCTATCTTCTCATCAGCTCCCAGTTTTGTTTCTGATGTTCCAATCATAGCTGTGTCCTCCAATGGTAATCTCATTTGATGCTTGGGGCTCAGTGAGATGAGATTGCGAGTTGACTGATTCCTTCCTCCTGAGTCCAGAGAGATAGATGATGGCCATTGTGCTCCTCCTATTGCTGAATCACCTGAGATCAGCTAACTAGGAAGAGACTGATCATTCAGTTCATCTCTAGGCTGAGCATTGCATACAGCAACTTGCGTTTATATAGCACCTTGCACATGGGGTAGTATTTTGGAGCACTTACTGAACTGAATCACTGAGGAGCCCAGGGAATGCTTTGAAAGAACTGAAGATGTCTGCTCTGGAGGAGAAACAGGCTGTTTGTGCCTGCTTAAAATCTGCTAAAGGGTCATGTGCCCCAGTGGTTTCCTAATTTGGGTAGCCATTATCTCGTGGTATGTGATACTCCCACGTTTGAAGAATAATGCCGAATACTGATACTCAAACAATGCTTCCCTTGTTCTATATTATTTGTCTTCATGCAGGAATTGGATGCTAATAGATATAAAACCAAATTGAAGAAAGCCCTGGATGAACTTGCAGAGCTGAAGAAAAAATATAAGAGGTATTGTTAACTCTGCAGTAAATTGTTAGATTAATAACTCGTTTAAATGCATTCTAATAAGTCATATATACTTGAATGAGAAATTTGTATTTAAAATGACCAGATGAAATTTGGGAAGTTTAAAAAGCTTTTTAATTAGTATTAAGTTAGGTTACTAACCTATTAAAATCAACAGCTAATGTAACTTTCCAGCACTTCTCCCTGAACTTGTACTCTTTCCATCCACTCCAAGCTTCTTTGCCAACTAAACATCACTTCCTGAGACACCCCTTTCTACAAAAATACAAAAAACAATTTGCATTTCTATAGCACCCTTTATGCAGGGTAGCGTCTCGGAGCACTTAATAATAATCATTGACTTCTTCAGAAATCTAGAAATGTTTCCTACTCCTAATCTCTGACCCCTGATCTTATTGGAGTCTAGTTGGTCTTACTAATGCCTACTTATTTGATTGGCATCCAATGAGCTGGGCTTAATGGAATTTGAGCTCCCTATTATTCAGTAGAGCGAAATTGCTGACTTGGGTCTGGGTTATTATACCCCATGCCCTTGCTGAGGAGGTCACAAGTGATGTATTTTATAGTGTCCAAAAGCCAAGGAGGATTTGGGTGCATTCCCAGACTCAGATATTCAAACATATTTCTCAAAGACAGTATGCTCTAAGACCGTCACTCTTCAAAAACACTGTGTGCCCTTGAGGTTGACCTCTAGGACTCTTGTTTCCATCAAACCCCTGGTAGAGGGAGATAGTGTTGTCATTTTTAAATAATGGATAAATGCTATTGGTAAAAAGCATGCTGTGCTTAGGATCTTTTTGCCATATGCACCTTATGCTTTCAGTATCTGCAGAGATACTTTTGTCACTTATCATTTGTTCCTTCAAAGTGTATTTGATAGCCTATTTAGCCTTCCTCTGTACTGTAAATGTCTATGGTTCTATATACATTTCCACAATCAGATGGAAAAAGATAGTTCCCAAACTGGTCCAAAGTGAATGACCCCATTCTGGGATGCACACAGCTCTTCTGTCCGATAATGTCCTCTTCTCTTGACTGTACTGTTTCTCACTTTCTTTCTAATGACGATGTTCAGTCCCAACCTCTGTGGGTTATTGCTCATTTACTATATAGGGACGTTTGTGAGTTACGTTCCTGCTTTTGGTTGAAGAAAAGTTAACATTAGAAATGCAGCAGGATCTGCATCAAACTGCCTGCAATTAATATTTTCCCCTCAGTTTAGTTGTTCAAACAATGCAAAGAGTACCTTAATCAAAATGCAGATCAGAGTCCAGTTTCTAAATGTTTTTTCACACTGTATTTAAAGTATAGAGCTGCAGGAACAACATCCTCTTTCTGGTACCAAGGATGTAAGTCATCCATCCAGCTGCTGCAGCAAAATGAAACAGAGGGCTATAAAGGCTGAATTGCAACTATTGAACATGCAGTATTGGATGTGTCAGCAGCATTGCTGGAAAATTCATAGCCTTACTATTGAGGAAAGTGCCTTTAGTGATTTGGGGTAAGTCTTATGCTTCATTTGTTATGGTGGCTATTTTCAGTATAAGCGTAACTTATAATTTGTATATGTTTGATTCATTTTGTTCATTTCTAAATGCTGAAACAGTAGGGTTGTAAAAGCTGGAATTGTAGTCACAGGTTGGTCCCAATTTTTGTTGACATAATGTACAATTGTTTTGAGAAGCGGATGCTAACAATAACCTGGGTTTTATTTTTCTTGAATAGGTCGTCATTGTTGGACATTCCAACTGAGTATAGTTCGGCTGTTTCATCTGTATTACAGGAACTTAAGGTTAACTATGAGAGTATGAAAGAAAGAGTGCAACATGGAATATCTCTGGACAATCTTCCTCTCTTGTCTGTTGAGATAAAAGGACCTTCACGCATTACAAACTTTGTTCCCGCTACAGTATGGATCTTTTTTTAAAAAAATAACTTTCATTTGTTAGAAAATGGTTGTGTATTGTTTATTTGCTTTCAATTAATTGTAACATGTACATCAAGTTTTGATTTTTATGTAATGCCTGAAGCAATCACTGAGTAATTAGAAGTGTTGTCCTACTACAGTAAATGTTTTCAGATGTCAGCTTTCCAACAGAAAATACATTTTATATTTTTAGAAGATTTGCTTTTACATGTTTGGAATTTTTTCCTGTTATAGTTGGGAAACCCGAAATTGATGTCCGAACATCAGAAACATCTGAAAAATGGGTAAATAAGTTCTCCAGAAATTTCCAGCTTCCCGTTGGTTGAATTTATTTTTATTGCTGAATCACACCAGACTTTCATTGTAATTCCTTTAGAAATTCTTTTTAGAAATTAATGTGATGCTAAAATTGTGCCTTTTGCTTCTGTTCCACTCGTAGAGATGCTTAATGTACTCAGAAGAGAATACAATCCCTTCCCTGACTTATCCCTTCAGGGGAGGAATTGTAATGGATATTTTTTATATTTTCCATGTTTTTCTCGTTGCCTTTGATAGAGGTGGCTTACTGGGTTTGACATGTTACCTCTTTTCCCTGTTGTAAGCAGTTATAGTTCCTTCCTGAAATCTTCCTGTTGATCTGAATTCCTTAAAGATATACTCTGAATTTAAGTATTGGTAAATTTGAATTGTGGTTTCCCCCTATTGGTGTTGACCTTGACTAGTCTTTCCTGAAGACAAACATGGGCTTTTATGAAAAATATAACTTTCCCGAGCTTCTCTGATTTGCACTAGTTGAGAGTGTCTGCAGCATTATCTTCACGTAAGGTGCTGTTATATGAGTGGGATCAGGGATACTGATGGTTTTGTTGCTGGAGCCTGTCAAGAGTCGATCCATGAACATAGAAGTCCATTCAGCTCATTTTGCCTGTTATTTCAGTTTATTAGATGATGTCAGATCTTTTATTTTTTCCTGTCATTTTTCCATATCCCTTATAACCCCTACTTCACAAGTATTGTCTAACATCCCAATTGATTCTTCCTCTATGGGATTCTAGGGTAGTGCCTTCCACATTTTCTCACCATTCTAGATGAATAAAATATTCTGATTTCACTTCTAACTGCCCTAGCTATAATTTTAAGATTATGTCCCTCGTTTTTTTTAACCGTTCTCCCAAAGGGAAGAAGCTTCAACTCTTTAACATGTCAATTCCCTTTATTAAATTAAACTCCTGAATTGAAATGCCCTTTAATGTTCTTAAATGCAAGATTTATAATTCAAATCTAACCATGTTTTCATCACAGTCCAGCCAGGTACAGACAGCCCAGGTATAGACACCACTGCACACATTCCAGGGCTGGTATACCTTTTCTAAGATAGGATGCCTACAACTGAGCAAAGTTTGAACAGCACATTGTATAAAGCATCTCTGTCTTCTCCCTTAAATAGGGAGTCATAAAATTGCATGATTGTTTTTTCATTGTATATTACTATAATTTGCTGCCTCTGGATTAGAGTTGATATGGCATGATCATGGAGAGTTCTATTTAGCACTATGAATCAGTTTCAGGCACACTACATTTAAACAATATTTCCAAAAAACTCTGTTTCTTGAATTTTAGTGGAAGTAGAATTTGAAACTTAACATTTTGTGCTGAAATAATAGTTGAGATTCAAATGGTTTGTCTTTTATCTAGAACCGAGACAGCTGCAGTCAATGTGCCATTGCAGGGACTTTCTTCTGGAAGAGCTGTGGGCGATACACAGGTTTGTCAAAAGTACTGAGAAAAAAATAAGTCTGAAATAAAACACTGTTCAAATCAGCACTTAAGTGAGGTTAACAATTTTGGCTTTAGCACTTTTGGAGGAGTTTTTGTCCAACACCATTATTTGAATAGGTCAGTGTTATACAGAAAAGTTTATGCATATTGTAATTTTGCATCTTGAAAGTTCGCTGGCTTTAAAGAAATAGTGTAAATTTTGATGCAAGTTTATTTCCAAAGTCTGTGGTTTTTCGTTGCAGGATCAGAGTGATCATTGGCAGCATGCAACAGATAGAAGAGTTCAAATACAGACTGATTGTGTAAATACTAAAAATCTAGGTAAGATCAGTAACAAAAAAGAGAAAATAGTATTTATCAGGAGAAAGCATAGACCAAGGCTTGCAATTTGGGAAGACCTCTCGATTTGAAAGGCACTGTATAAATGTAAATTGTATGTGCTATTTAGGATAACAAACTTTCTCCTTCCTATACCGGGTAAAATATATTCTTTTGAGGACTCCACTCATTGAGTCCCAGGGAAAAGCTTTGTACCTGCTAAAGTACTATGAGAGCAGAGAATGCAAACTGAAAAGGCCAAGATCCAATAGTATTGTATTTGAGTGTTATAATTTGGGCCAATTGAAAAGTGGAAATAATTGCCGAAAATTGCTGGGAGATTTGCCAAATTTTGCAGGTACATTGTAGTGCCAACCTACATTTTTTCACTTTTTTGATAAAAACTAAACATAACACATATTAGATTGTTGCAATTTTTTTGGAACAAGGGGCTCAGCTGAGGACCAGTGTCGTGACTGCAGGGCTGCAGGAGCTCACCACCTCCTGCCTCTCGGGGCACAGCAACAGAGACTGAGACCCACAGAGAGAGACACACTCACAGACACAGAGACACACATTCTTAGCAAGAGAGACACAAACATACACTCATAGATACAAAGAGACCTAAACACACGTAGATAGGAGAGAAAGTTGCACACATTCACACAGAGACACTCATAAACATACACACACACATAAAAGAGACAATCATAAACATACATACAGAGGAGACAGACACAGACACACTCACACAGAGACATCACAAACAGACACACGTACAGAGGAGAGAGAGACACTCCCCTAGACACTCACGAACCCACTGACAGACACTCACAAACACAGGGAGAGAGAGACGCACAGTCAATCTCAACAGCGGGGCTTCCGAGTGGAGTGAAGCCACATTTCCTGCTTGCGCGTTTGGAGCCGCTCTGCCCACAGTAGCGACGGGTAAACAGCGCAGAGGCGTAGGTGCCAGAAACTTCATTTTGTAGTGTTTTTATGCGGAGGATGCTGTTTATAGTGGATTCCATGGAAAAATTCCGGCTGCATGTTTCTATTGGCCCAGGTTATAACTTGGCTCCTTACAACAAGTGTTTAGTTTGAAATATAGGCTAGTTTGTTTGACTTTTAGTCCAACAAGTGATATTTTTGATGTATTATGTTTTTGTGATTTTTTTGTGGCTTTCATTATACAGTACTTTGCATTTTAACTATATTGTTTGTGTTTATCATGCTAAACATTTCTGTCAGTTAACATTGCATCACTTATAACATATATAAATGTGTAGTTATCCCAGAGCTTACTGCTGTATTTGTTTGTTTTGTGTATAGTCAAAGATCCAGAAGTCACCGATGATTGGTTCGATGCGCAAGAGAATGTAACTGCTTCAGGTAGCTCCAGTTCTGTACAAGGGGATTCAAAAAGCAGCCGGGGCCTTCTGACAGGTGCTGAGGATACAGAGAAAAACACTGAAGCTGGAAAAATAAGAGATTTGTGTAGGTGAAAGAGAACAAATTGCCTCTGGATTTGTCACTTTAAATAAAGCATTGAAACTGCTTCTCATTACCCCTAAAGCTGGTCGAGCAAATTGTAGGGATGTGTTGGTCTAGGTCTTCTTGTCTTGTGAGACATCCACATTTAATGCTTTGGTTGCGTATTAGAGAAAGCTCAACTTGCATACTGGACTATTGAGTTACTTATGGCTACTGTCAGCATTAATAATCTAGACAATAGTTACAAATAGTTTAATTTTTTTACACTTTTACTTCCTCTCCTATCCCTCCAGCCTCTTGCTGGGTCTGTTAATGGGAATGATATTCTAGGTCGTTAGCATCAACCACTTGGTATCCAGCTTGTGGCTGAGGAATTTGAAGCTTTATTTGCTGGACAATATTTTCTGCACATGAAACAAGAAGAACCAAACAAGAATTAACATGTTAAATTGAAGACGGATAATTTAATGACACTGCATAGCATCATTTTTATATTGCCATTGTTTGTAAGAGCAAACCGTGCTTGTAATTTGGTTCTAAAACTTTTAATAGCTTATTTTAATTTCTTTGTGTTGCAGCTTTTTGCATTGGTAAATCTATGACAAAGGAAAGCGTTCAAACACGCTACATTTATGTAGACAGGCTATCCAAAAGCATGACAGGGGTATGTCTTATTGGCTTTCATTTTCAATACCACTTAATTTCAACTGTAAAGCTTATTATAGTGCTTTGAGTGACAGCGAGGCCTTTTTTTCCCTAGATGGAGATAAGAAACCTTTTTCAGAAGTACCAGGTTTCTGGAGTTTGGCTTGGCAGTTTACGGAGTGAAGACAGGTAATATGTTTTAAAGGGCATCAGTATGCATAGCCAGATTAAACATGGAATGTTCCTCCATTTCTTCCAACAATGCTCTGTCACTGCCTCATCTGCATCCATGCCCCGAGTGATCTTTTTTGCCCAGTGAAAATAAAGATTCTGTCCCAGTGTGTGGAAAGAGACGTAAGTCTCAGAAATGTGTATACTTAGCTGACATGCAGTTAGGTAATGATTCCACAAGATATCGGAATAGGACAGAGAAGGAGACCAGATGGCTTTTTGCTTTGTGGAAACAATTGGAGGTGAAACATAACTGATGAGTGGGTCAGAGAGATCGTGCAGTGGAGTTACACCATTAAATGAGAATTGTTTTGTCAGGAAAGCCGTGGTGATATAGTCAGCTGAAATGAGTGGTGTGGCTTGAGGTATGTCTGGTTTGCACAGACAATATATCCTTCAGTATAGCCTCTATTTTTGGCATATTCTGGACTCTTGTCTTGTGATTGTTAGGCTCTGGTCATCATTGTTCTATTTGCTTAAGAATGATATCTTGCTCACTCCCAAATTACTCCTTAGTTATTTCATTCCAATCCTAAGTAATTCTGACATTCTTCATTGTGACAGTAAAGTTGTTTGCTTGTAGGGCTTTTAAATGATAACAGAAAACATACTAAAACCTTATAGTCTTGTGACTGGTTGTGCTTAAATCTTCACCAAACCATTGCTCACTCTATAATAGAGAATGCTTCCTAGCCTGCATCAGTAGTTGTAGATCCAGTGTATCGAACATACCCTTAACCTTATTGATCAAATCAGACTCAAGAGATCCCAGCGCATTCACTTGTAAGTTTTCTACAATATTCACGCATTGCCTCCTGTTTTTAACTAGAATAACTATCCTCCTTGGGGGGAGAGTTAATTGTGTCCTTGGGGCTGAGCTGGATGCAAGGTGCCGTGCTTGGTAATGGAATGTTGGAATCCAGACAACCTTACGTAGTGTGCAGATGGCCTACATTCGTCTGATTTGGATACTCAAGCATCGTGATGGGTTTCCATATGCTTCAGACACTCATATGACCAATTAAAAAAAATTAACCAGAGGATCAGTCTGTATTTTGCGTGTATAAGTATTTAGAATGATACCACGTGGTACTGCTTAATTGTGTTGACCACTTCTTTAGAAAAATGTAATATTGCACCTTTTCAGATAATAGGACAGCTTAATAATCAAAAAAAAATAAGGTTTATTATTATTAATCAGGAGTTGGATTTAAAATAGATAAATAACTTGAAATTGTAGGTTGATGCAATAACCTCAAATTTTGAAGTCCGTATTTTTGCATTTGACTTAAAGTTGTTTATGGTTGTCGTACGAAGGATACCATCAGAGTGTTTCATTTTGTGTTAGGTGCGGAGTACTGAGAGTTGCCTCTGCCTCTTTGGCCACATTGGCAGTAGATGAAATGAACGGAAGGGAACTCCACGGAAAGATCATCAACGTCCACTTGGCAAAGGTTTCCGGAGGTCACATGCTACCAGTATTTACTTACTCACAGCCTCCAGCATTTCATACAGTTCAAACCCCTGATGGCAAAATGTTGAGTTCTGAAGTGGAGGTGCAGCAGTCTTCTGTAGTGGCTTCTTCTGCACCAACAAAAGTTCCAAACACAGCATCTCATAAGGTAATGAAACCTGAAAGGAAAAATTGCACAGGTATGTACAGTGCTGGTGTGTTGACATATATATTGTATTTTGATTTAAATTGTTTTAGTAATGCACTTTTAGATTCAGGTATGTTCGTTACATTCAAATGTTAAATCTTATTCATTTCAACTTGTGTTATTAGGTTGACTTTCTATCTAACCTTTTTTTTAAAAAAATATTGATATGCATTTCCATTTAAAAGACTTGGAGTTATCTTACCTCTAACTATCTTGTACTTTTTGTTGGCCTCTGAACTTTGCTGCATTAATCCTGCCTTGTTTGCTACCTATTGCGATGGCTCAGTTGCTAGATTCACTGTCTTGTGTGAAACTTCTCACTGCATGCAAGTCTTAAGATCGTCTGCATCAAAAGAAAGGAAATGTGGAAAAGCAACCAGAGATCACGGTACTAGGGACATCAGTTTACTCTTTTTGTGATGAGCTTTCTCAAGTTGAGTTCTTGAGAGTTGTGAAAACAATATTCTATTTTTCTGATTTCATTTTGATTCCAGTTTGGATAAATGACATAATCTTGGTAGTGAATACATGGGATGACACTTTATAACTGTTTGATACGATGACCATCATCGCCTCTAGTTATCACAAGGACCAAATTTGCTATTGTTTGGTGTTTAACATTGAACAATCACTAGGTGGCAGCGATGTCAGAGAAAGCTCGGATGTTGCCTTCCTTTAATAGTATTATGGTGAAAAAAATTATTGAACTAAAAAGCAAACTTATCCAAGATGACAACTGACTATGTGAAAGAGAATCAGACAGGAGAAGGGATGTACAACCATCTTTGGTGTTAACAATAACGTACATTTATGTAGCCTCCTTTACATAGGGTAACATTTCAAAGGGCTTTACAGTGAATGTGTTGAACACTGAGCAAGGGGGAGGTAATAGGATAGAAGTGGGTTAAGCATTAAATAATTAGCATCTGCAATAATAATCACACTGAAGAATTATGAACTCACTCATTTCACTAATTTCAACTGCATTAGAAGATTGTGTTGGAATATATACAGTAAAATCACTGTTCCTGGTGTTTGTTAAACTAATGTTTAACTGCATCAGCAGGTGAACAGAAGAAAATACAGGCAGATGCAGGCTCTTCAGGGAACTCCGACCACAACAGGAATTTTCATTCCTCAAAATTCAGCTAATCTAAGCAGTTTCAATAAATTAATGAAGACCCTCGTGGAAATGCATCCCGATACAAACAGGTAAGAGATGGTTTCAGCCTGTTAATCCTTGCAAAATATTCTGACAGCTTTTAGTCCTCAAAACATTTTCTTTAAAAATATCATCCATTCATTGCTGATTACTGTAAATAAATGCTTGATCTGCATTTGTATAAATGGTGCTATATTTACTTGAAAGTACTTGATTGATTTTTCAGGTAAGTGGCATTCATATGTGGAACTGCTTGATTTGGATACTCTTAGCTTGGTTTTCTGCATGTGTCAGACACCTGGCTGACCAAAAAAAAGACTTAACAATTGTTTATAATTTTTTTTTAGAGATGCTATCATTGAAGCGTTGAAGGAAGTGAAAGCAAATAATAAGGGGTTTCTCAATGGTCTGGCTCTCAATACAATTGTGCAGATGACCTCTGCTATACTGAAAAGCCGTCCATCTGTAAATGGTTAAGAGTGAAAGGTATGATCATCCGGCTGGAGCCAAAGTCTTTTTTTAATTAAATATTCCTACATTATTCATCTTCTCTGCTCAATTTAAATTTTCACCGAATAACTATCCAATTCCATCTTGGATTTGCTCAAACCATCTACTTATTTGGGTAGTCTAACCTATCTTACATAAAATATTTAAATCCTATCTGTTACTTTCCCTTTTCTGAGCTAGAATCTATATCTCTATGTTCTAGGTTTTTGTTTACCATATCACTAACTCCTGCATTAAAAGCTGAAGAAATTAAATTGACTAATTACATAATGCAAACTATAAATGGTATAATTTTAGGACACTAAAAGATGTATGCAATCCATGTCATCTAGTAACCTAGGTAGCAAAAGCTTTGCAGAGTTGCGATATCGTTTTGCACTCCGACGAAATCCTCTGCTGCAGTCAGTTCATTCTCAAATGTCAGGCTCAGCATAGATCAGCAAAACGGCCACTCTGCCCTTTCTGGGAAATTAACAGCTACGAGTAAACCGTTCAAATATCTCGCTGGCACGATGGTGCTGTAGAAGGCATACATATAACTTTGTTTGCTAATAAAATGTGAATATTTAGTCCATGTGTTTGAGTTTACTGTGTACAGCCACGGTACAGTAAAACTCACATAAGTCATATCAGTCAGGGCCATAACATTCAATATGATTTACCTGAAATCCAAATTGTGGGCAAACTACAAATCGAATAAGTACGATCTAATCAATAATCTGCACGGCGCATGAGTAATTTAATGCAGCCGGTAAGTGTGCATGTGGTACCTCGTCATTGGAGCCGGTAAGTGTGCATGTGACGAGTCAAGGCTACGTTTCCTGATTTCAGTGCATCTTACCCGTTGGAGCATGCCCACTTACCAGCAAGCATTGAATCGCAGGAAATGGAAGTTCTTTTGCGCATCAGGCAATGGTTCAAGACTATGTTTCCCGCGATTCATTGCAGCTGGCCGGTAAGTGCACATGGTTGTGGAGTCCTGTAGCTCAGTGGTTAGAGCACTCGCTTTGCAAGTGAGAGACCTGAGTTCAATTCCAGTCAGGGCGAAACCTTGGGCAAGTTTCCTTACTCCACACGCCTAATAATAATCCCTCCAAAAAAACAAAATAATAATAAATTGGTCATTTTCAATCTACGACTGTTTGTGGGACATTGCTGTGCGCAATTGGCTGCCGCGTTCGCCCACAAATATACAGTCAATTCACTTTACAGTGTGTTCTGTGAAGCGCTTTGGGACGTCCTCCCGACGTGAAAAGCGCTATATCAAATGCAAGGATTATTATTATTATTATTATGGTTGATGGATCAAGATGCCATTGCCCTCAATTCAATGCAGCCGGTAAGTGTAGGAGTAATGGACGACGGGAGCAGCGTTCTTAGGTGATAAAAATGACTAGTGCAAAAAAACTAAATGGTTTTGATTGTAAACTGAATGGGACACAGGTAGATATACGACTTAGACGATTATATGATTGAAAAAGATAAGACTTATGGGAGTTTTACCATATTGAGTTTTATATATTACTTTAATCAGTTTCTTTAGTCTCCTCCATTCCTTCATTGCAAGCATGGTTCAAGAATAGAAAACTTTTTGACAGGAAGTCAGACTTTGTTACAAACGGTTGATCTATTGTTTCCGTTCCTGCACTTTTCACTTATTTGAAACCTGATATCCCAGCTCTCCTTCATTGCTGTCCTGTCTAAAGGGGTCTTGGTATATTCCTAGCCCCGAGGGCAGTATATTTGGAAGTGGAAAGTATTACATTTATAGTGGTGAAAGGAAAGGTTCATTGACCTGTTTTGCTCTTTTTTCAGCAAATGTAAACTTCAAACATGCAAGAATTTTTTTTGTGAAAGTGGCTTTTGGATATGTGCGAAATGCATTAATTGTCTTTTTTTTAGTTTTCCAGAAAAATATAAAATGCTGAGGAAATCCATTGAGATCTCGTTGCAGGCTTCTGCAGAATCAGATTTTTGGGTTTAAAATCTAATGTTACTGCGAATATCATTTTTGGATTTGAGTTTAATAACCGACAGGAATTGTTTGGTATGATGACCAAAGGCATTTTCGTCCTGATGTGCTGATTAATAAATTGTATTTGTTAAGATTTTAAATTCCTTCTTTGTTTGAGAAAGTTGAATAAACAACTAAGAAGCATTAAGGTGTGTCTATTGCACTAAGGTGTGTCTACAGTTCTGTGTCTGTTGTACTTTAAATTGGTGTTCTGCCTTCAAATAGGGACTGTCCTATGCTTCAACAGCTGTGCATGAAGATGCAGTGAGAGTAACTGGTCTGCGAGAAACTGGTCTGCCAAACATAGTTATATATTTTATATGTAACCCATTTGACTTGTTATTTTTTTGCTCTATAAAAAAACTACCACTATGCTGAAATTCCCCTTCACAATCTTGAAACTGTGCCCTCTTGGCATGTATGGCAATCTGAATATATTACTTGTAACTAGCTGTTACTTGATAGCCTTTTATAACTTGCCTACAAAGAACACAGTCACTAAATTTTAAAGTAAATCCCATGAAGTGCTTTGAGATATCCTCCTGATGTGAAAGGCACTATATCAAATACAAGGATTTTTTTTAAAAACAGGTACAGGGGAGAATCTAGCTGATATTTAGCTTGTTTCCTCTCCACTCTCTTGTGTTTTTTGAAATAGTTTGGTAGCTTCCCTGCTGAGAGGCAAATCATTCCCCAATATTTTCCTAACTGTAAATCTCAATTATTTCTTTCATTATGTGAAAGATAATTGTGTCCCGCTGAGTTTTCATTAGATGGTGGATCCTGCCATTCTGAGAAAGATGCTTGATATTAACATTAAAATTGCAAAAGAGAAAGTTTAGTTGGTTTTATGAATGCTCCTTCAGATGTATTACGATCAACTAAATTGCTTTCTTTTAAATTCACCGTTTGCCATAGATTATTTAAAAGATTATTTTCCATGTGCTCATGATTTGCCTTGGATTTCTTATTTATTGTAAATTGTAATAATAATAATCCTTGCATTTGATATAGCGCCTTATCACGTCCTCAAGACGTCTCAAAGCGTTTCACGGAATGAAACGTGGCAGCCAATTGTGCATAGCAGTGTCCCACAAACAGTCATGGATTGAGGGACCAAATTATTATTTATTTATTACTTTTTGAATGGGATTATTACCCCTGGAAAAGAGATCCACCAATCAACTAATAGCCGGGTCTCTACTTCCTGCTAGGTGAGCATAGATGTGTGGAGTAAGGAAATCTGTCCTAGGTTTCGCCCTACTGGGAATCGAACCCAAATCCTCTCGCTTGCTACAGGACTTCACTCTGTTGAGGAAAAGTTTGAAACTGGATCGAGCCTACCCAAACTAATTTCACATGGGATCCCTACAACCAGCAGACAGTAAACTCATCAATCTGGAGTGTGTTGGATCCAGCTCCCAGAAGAACAGACTTGTGACCAATTCATTGGTGAACAATCTATTTTAAAAATAAGAAAAATACATATTTTAAACAAAATATGGCATCACGGGCACACAAACCTACATGGTGTTAGGCTTAAAACCACAAACAAAATTGTTTTTAATATAAATTTCATGTGGAATTTTAGAAATGTTTAATTCAGCCTTAATTTGGAAGCTAGTGTTCCATTTTTTGGGCTACTATGAATGAAGCTCAATCAAGACTGAATTTAAGACTACATAATTTCTTACAACCTTAACTGCTAAAGATATTATCAAGGTTTAAGAGAATTAAAAAATTCAGCCTTTAAACTTAAACTCCCTTCCACCCAAAAAGCAGAATTTTTTTGCTGCCGTACAATTAAAGGTCTAACATTTAATTAATTATCCAGTCACCTCTTCAGCAAGGTTCCTATATAAAAATCAAACAGCTTACAATAACAACAACAACAAGATTCCATTTATAAAGCGCCTTTCACGTCAGGAGGACGTCCCAAGGCACTGCACAGTTGGGTCATGACCCGAGCAGGGGGGAAATGGTCAGGGGAGGGGAGGGAGCGAGGAGGGGGGAAATGGTCAGGGTGAGGGGAGGGATGGGAGGGAGCGAGAAGGGGGAAGAGAGTCGAGAGGGGAGCTGAAGGCTCGGTCAAAGGTTACATGTTCTTTCACTTCAAAATTATGCATCATTGAAAACCTTACACCATTGAAAGATTGTACATTCATAAACAATTCAATCGCTGGTCTACCTCCCCCAAGATATTGCAGAATTCATTGAAGTCTCACTGGGAGTAAGGAGTATTCAAATATATGCAGCAGCACCAATTAAGCCCAAGTACTACAATATTCAGAATATAAATAGAACAAGAAAAGGCCTTTTAACCCATCAAGTTGTCATAGTCAATGTTCAATTTACCCTGTTACAGAATGCTGGGACATCCTCCCGATGTGAAAGGCGCTTTACAAATGTAAATGTATTTTGCTTTGGTATCTTTTGTTTCAATTCATATTAGACCAGAGTGACTTGCAATAACGAGCACTTTGTTCTTGGCTGCTGTTCAGAAGAGGAATGGACACCATATAGTCTTACAATGTCGGATTGTGTTCTAATGTAGCTTGGATCCATCAAATGAGATTTTCAAGATATGAAACGTGCTTTGACTGGTACAGTCATCACTGATCCCCACTGTGTACTACAAACACTGACAATAGTTAAAACTTCTCTAAAAGCTAGAGAGCTACTGTTACAACTGTTGAGTTCTACCTCAGCACTAGCAAGTCTGATCTTGAGCAATGTGGAAGGAGCAATACCATTTGATAAAAGTACTGCAGTATCAGTTTAGCCACTAAGTGGGGTGCTAGTCAGTTTGGCTGTTTTAACTGTTACACTTCGAAGGAAGACAGGGTTCAACTAATTTCATTTTCAGCGGCTTTACACAACACCTATAATTGTGTGTGTGTCTATTTCGCTCCAGATTTTTTGCTCTGTAATTATTTCTCAATTCTCTTTGTCGCTCGTCCAATATCTACTTGTCGTAACCATTTCACACTGAAACAAAGTTAGGATTCAACTAAGTTTTCATTACTCAAGCTCTATGCATTAACTTTATTTGTGTGTGTGTCTGTTTCGCTGATTCCAGACTTTTCTGTGGTGTAATTACTTATCACGTTTTCTATCTCTTCCTCTCACTCTATTACGTGCTTCCCCCGTTCAATTTTGTATGTGATTAGAATCTATGCAAGGTGTTTGCCGAAGAAGGAGCAACGGCTGCAGTAAGGTTAATGCGTGGGTAAACTGACACAAAACATTAGTTTTCAATAAAACCCCCACTTTTTCCACTTCCCTGTCTTTCAGTGGAAATTTCAATTATTGTAAACTTATTTCAGATACCGTTAATACTAATTTAAATAATAATTCTTGCATTTGATCTAACCCCATCACATTTTCGAGAAGTCTCAAAGCACTTCACAGAACATACTGTAAAGTGAATTGACTGAATATTTTATAGGCGAAACTGGCAGGCAATTGCGCACAGCAGTGTTCCACACAGTCGAGATTGAGTAACCAATTTTTTTTGAAGGAATTATTGCCCCCTGGAAAAGCAATCTAGCAATTGACTAACAACTGGGTTCCTACTTACTGCTAGGTAAACAGAGGAATGTGAAGTAAGGAAACTTGCCCAACATTTCGCCCTGCCAGGAATCAAACCCAGGTCTTGAAGCAATGTGGCTTTCATTTGCAAAAGCGTTGGTAGCCGGGAAGATTGATTTGGATTTCCTACTTTACATGATGTTGGCCAAGAAGAGCTCTTCACTTGGGCAGAACATTAATCCTGGATTTGGGTGTTGGGGCTTATACTGTTTTTATAGAGGTGGTGACCAGCCCTTGCATAACAAAAATAGTTCAAAAAAGTATACCTGCCAGTGGGTGGACCACTAGTAATTTCTGTGGGCCCCCTGAATCGGTTCATCATGCTTGTCTTTATGCTATAGTACGTGGGAATCAATGTTCTCAAGGTGGTCTCGCTGGTAGGCTCCAGCATGGTAATGAGTTTGTTGACAGTTGTTTGTTGCTGTTGTTGGATGGTGTACTTTTCACAACTAACTTGCCACAGGAAGGAAAGTATCAATCAGCAATTAATCATCAGAGAAGTAAAGTTTGAACTCAAGACACTAATGAATCCACCTTCCCTGTTCTGACCTGCTCTGCCTTCCCCCACCTCCGCAATATCGCCCGGCTCCATCACTGTCTCACACCCCAGGTCACCAAAACCCTCATATAAGCATTGATAACAATGAGGCTTGACTATTAAACTCCTTGCTCGTTGACCTCCCCAACTCCTCCCTCCATAGGTGCAGATCATCTAGAACTCTGTAACCCATGTCCGCTCCCTGACCCCATCACCCCTATCCTTGCCCGACTCTACTGGTTTCCCATCACACAGTATACAGTTCAAGATCCTGGGCCTCACCTTCAAAGCCCTGCATGGTCTTGCATCCCCCCAACCTCTGCGACATCCTAACCCTCTACCATCCTGCCCGCTCCCTCTGCTCAGCGGGCTCCAGTCTGCTTCTCGTCCCCCGCCTTGCCCGCCCTACCATTAGTGGGCAGGCCTTCTGCCACTCTGCCCCACCCTCTGGAACTCCATCCCGCAGTCCCTCCGCCCTGTCCCCTTCCTTGCCTCCTTCAAGACCCATCTCAAGACCCTCCACTTTGACTGTGCTTTCGATCACCCTGCTTCCCCCTCCTGCCCTCCACTATCCCCAATCCCGACCCCCAGCTCAGGTTTGTAACACTGACTGTCCAGCGCCTTGGGATGTCCTCCTGACAGGAATACAACAACAACAACAACAAGATTCCATTTATAAAGCGCCTTTCACGTCAGGAGGACGTCCCAAGGCGCTGCACAGTTGGGTCATGACCCGAGCAGGGGGGAAATGGTCAGGGTGAGGGGAGGGAAGGGAGGGAGAGAGGAGGGGGGAAATGGTCAGGGTGAGGGGAGGGAAGGGAGGGAGCGAGGAGGGGAAGAGAGTCGAGAGGGGAGCTGAAGGCACGGTCAAAGAGAAAGGTTTTGAGACCGGCCTTGAAGGAGGAAAGGGAGGAAGCAAGGCGAAGGCACTGGGGGATGGAGTTCCAGAGCCTCGGGGCTGAGAGGCTGAAGGCCCGACCACCGATGGTAGGGCGGTTGGGGCGGGGGACGTGGAGCAGACCGGAGCCAGAGGAACGGAGGGTACGGGCAGGTAGGTAGGGGGATAGTAGGTTGGAGAGGTAGGAGGGAGCAAGGCCGTGAATGGCCTTGTAGGTGAGGATGAGGATCTTGAAATCAATCCTCTGGGGGATGGGGAGCCAGTGGAGGCGAGCGAGGGTGGGAGTGATGTGGTCCCGAAGCCTGGTGCGGGACAGTACACGAGCTGCAGAGTTCTGAATGACCTGCAGCTTGTGGAGGGAGGTGGCGGGAAGGCCGGCGAGGAGAGAGTTCCCATAGTCCAGCCTTGAGGTGACAAAGGCGTGAACCAGGGTTTCAGCAGCGTGAGGGGTGAGGTAATGCCGTAGTCTGGCGATGTTCCGGAGGTGATGGAAGGCGGTGCCAGTTGTGGTGCGGATGTGAGGGAGAAAGGACAGCTCAGGGTCGAACAAAACGCCGAGGTTCCTGACTGGCTTTGAGAGGTGGAGAGTGCAGCCTTGGATGCTGATGGTGTCAGCGCCTGAGGTGCGGAGGCGCTGACGTGAGCCAATCAGGAGGGCCTCGGTTTTTCGCACGTTGAGCTGAAGAAAGTTGTCTCTCGTCCAGGACTCGATGTCGGACAGGCAGCTGTCAGGACATCGGTGGTCGTGGAGTTGAGAGTAGAGGAGGAAAGGTAGAGTTGGGTGTCATCCGCATACATGTGGAAGTTAACCCATGTCTGCGGATGATGTCACCAAGGGGGAGCATATAGAGGGTGAAGAGGAGGGGACCGAGGACAGAGCCCTGAGGGACACCACATGAGACAGTGCGGGGGGTGGAGGAGAAGCCATTCGTCGAGACAAAGTGAAGACGGTGAGAAAGGTACGACCTAAACCATTCAAGGACAGTGCCTTGAAGGTTGAGGTGGGAGGACAAGCGGTGGAGTAGGATAGCGTGGTCGACCGTATCGAATGCTGCCGATAGGTCGAGGAGGACGAGGAGACAGAGGGAGCCCTGGTCACAGATGGTCAGGATATCATTGGTGACCTTGACCAGGGCAGTTTCTGTGCTATGGGCAGCACGGAAACCTGACTGAAGGGGTTCGAAAAGAGAATGGGTGGAAAGGAAAGAGCGCAGTTGGGAGGCGACAACTCTTTCCAAGACCTTGGAGAGAAAGGGGAGGTTGGAGATGGGCCGGTAGCTTGATAGCTGCGACGCATCAAGGGAGGGTTTTTTCAGGGTGGGCGTGATGATGGCAGTTTTTAATGGAATGGGGACAGAGCCAGAGGAGAGGGACAGGTTGATGATGTCAGTGATATGTGGGGCAAGAAAGTGGAGCTGGGAGATAAGGAGTGGAGTGGGGATGGGGTCAAGGGAGCAGGTGGTTGGTTTTAGGGATAGGATGAGTTCAGTGACAGAGGGTGGGGAAACGGGTACGAAGGTGTGTAGGGGAGGATGGGTAGGAGTCGGAGTGTGGGAGGGAAGGGGTGGGTGGTGGGTGGAAGTTGGAGGGGAAGTGACCGCGGAGCGGATTCCCTTGATCTTGGATTCAAGGAAATCCAGCATCTCCTCGCAGTGAAGGTTGGAGGAGATGACCTGCGCGGGGTGGCGGGGGGACGGAGGAGTCGGGTTGTGGTGGAAAACAGTAGCCTGGGGTTGTTCTTCGCCTCCAGGATTATCCTGGAGTAGAAGGACGACTTGGCCGAGGCTAGAGTGGAGCGGTAAATTTTGAGGAGGTCCAGCCAGATTTGTCGGTGGACCGTTAGGCCAGATTTGACACAGGTGCGTTCAGCAGCCCGCACCTGGCTTTTCAGTGAGCGGAGGTGGGTGGTGTACCAGGGGGAGGAGCGGGAGTAGGAGACAGTGCGGGAAGTGATGGGGGCAAGAGTATCGAGTGTGGAGGAGAGGGTATTGTGGAGGAGGGAGAGAGGAGAAGAGGGGTCGGTGAGGGTTGAAGGCCAGAGGGAGAGGAGTTCAGAGGACTCCAAGGCATCGGTTAGGGATTGTGGGGGTAACTTCTTCCAAGGGCGGTAGAAGATGGTGGTGGGTCTGGTGGAGGTGGGGAGGGGGGTGGAGGTGGTGAAGGAGATGAAGTGGTGGTCGGAGATGGCCTTGTCGGTAATAGTGACATCCGAGACACTGAGGCCCCGGGTGATCACCAAATCGAGTGGGTGGCCGTGACTGTGAGTGGGGGAGTTTATGTGGAGGGAGAGGTTGAGTGAGGAGAGCAGGGAAGAGAAGTCTGTGGAGATGGAGCAGGAAGGGGTGAAGTGTAGGTTAAAGTCGCCCAGGATGATGAGGCGATCAGAGCAGAGGCAGAGAGATGTGAGGAGTGTTGAAATGTCAGAGATGAAGGTGGGAGAGGTTTTAGGGGGCCGGTAGAGGAGGAGGATTTTAAGTGAGAGGAAGGAGGGGTGGGAGAGGGTGAGGTGCTCAAAAGAGGGGAAAGAGCCAGAGGAGTAGGGGGATAGGGCAAGTGGTGTCCTTGAGATAAGGGCAACACCACCGCCACTGCGGTTGGGGCGAGGGATGTGGTGGGAGGTGTAGCCGGGTGGTGTGGCCTCCGTGAGGGGGAAGGTGTCGCCTGGGGTGAGCCAGGTTTCCGTTAAGGCCATGATATCAACGTTCTCATCAAGGATGAGATCGTTGATGACCAGGGCCTTGTTACAGAGGGAGCGGACATTTTGCAGTCCGATGTGGAGGGAGCAGTTGACAGAAGGGTGTGTGGGAGGGGAGGGGGGTCCAGGTTGTGAGGCAGGGGTGGGGGGATGGGGATGAGGGAGGAGAGGTTGACTCCCCGGGTCTGTGTCCGGGGTGGGTGGCGAGTGTGGTGGGGAATGGGGCAGTCGGTGTGGCTGCTGCTGGACAGCCAACGCCGAGTGCCGCGGTGAGCCCGGCGGAGGATTCCCAGGCTGGAACAGAGGGAGGTTGTGGGAGGGTCAAGTGGGGATAGAAGACGAGAGGGACGGAGAGAGAGGAGGAGAGAGCGGGAGAGATGCAGAGGGGGGAGGGTTTGGGGGGGGGGGGTGGGGATTACCGTGATACAAATATAATTTTGTTGTTGGGAATACTCAGCAGGTCAGGCAGCTTCTATGGAGAAAGGAAAGTGAGTCAACGTTTCGGGTCCACGACCCTTCGTCAGAACAGTGACCGTTCCGACAAAGGGTCGTGGACCGTAAACGTTAACTTACTTTCCTTTCTCCATAGATGCTGCCTAGCCTGCTGAGCGTTCCCAGCGACTTCTGATTTTGTTTCAGATTCTAGCATCTGCAGTATTTTGTGTTTAATTTTTTGTTGTTGTTGTTGTTATTCCCCTCCCTTCATACAAAACTCCCCCACATTGCCCTTTTCTACTTGACCCTACGTCTTCCCATCATACCCATTTGGCTTTGGACGAGGACCAAATCTCGACTTTTGCTTTCAAAGTAACACACCAAATATTGTATCTTGCCATCTCAAAATCCATATTGCTTATCTTTGTCGATCTTATCTTGAAAGGTACGGATGAAGAAGTATTGGTCTTCAACATAAGCGGGGGGGTTCCACAAAGCTCTTTGACACAAACAACAATTTGCATTTACGTGGGGTAGCGTCTCAGAGGACTGAAAGTTGAGTTTAAAAATCATCAACCCCCGCTTCCTGTGCCACATCAAAAGTGTTAAAAGTGAGAAGGGTCGCTACTTGTTCACATTGTTTTATGAGGCTGACCAACATAATGGAGCACAGCAGATTCCTGGTGCTCGGATTCATTTGCCTTCAGATAGAACTGGGCTTCCAAGGTAACAGGAATCATTTTTGTTGCTATTTATTGCGAAAGTTTATTTGCTTCTATTTTCTTTTCAAAATATGAGTTGGAAGTGTCTTATGTTTCTGTTATAATATCCTTGAAGTTGATTTTTCCTCCACCCCTTTACTCACCTCCTTCACCAAACTCAGTGGTCTGTATAGTAATAATAATGATCTTTGCATTTAGTGTACAGCTTAGCACATCATTGAAGTGTCTGAAGTGCACCACATGATTTTACTATTGAAGTGAAATACATACATAACTTTACAGTATATCCTGCGAAGCTCTTTAAGATTCTGTGATAAGGCGCTATATAAAATGCAAAGATTGCTATTATTCTAATTGTAAGTGTAGTGACTGTGTACTTATGGATGAACGCAGCAGCCAATGTCCCACATGAAGTGAATGGACAATTTTATTTGGGGGATTGTTGGCCAGGACTCAGGGAGAAAGTCCTTTCCCTTTTCAAACAGTGCCACGGGATCTTTAATGTCCACCTTAATAGACAGACAGGGCCTCAGTGTATTGTCTCATCTAAAATATAGCACCTCCGACAATGCCACACACCATAGGATTGCATTGCAGTGTCAGCCTCGACTGTAACCTCAAAGTATTGATGTGGGGCTTGAATCCACAACCTTCGGATGCAGAGGCAAGGGTGCTATCGACTGAGCCAGGCTGATACCTGAATATTGTAGGTAACCATCCTACAGTCACCGTGACCACTCCAGCCCCCATTCTCTTTCTTCTCCAGAATTGTTCCTGCTTTTGATTACTATTGTGGAGGAATGTGTGTTGATGTTGCGTAAGGGGATGTAGTTCAGTGGATAATACCTTCCAAATTGAAAAGCTGTTGACACATGCTGCTTAGATTCTATAAGGAGTTATATTAAAGGATTATGATTATTATTATTATTAGATGCACACATCAAAATTGTCACATAGGAACAGGAGGAGGCCATTCAGCCCTTCCAGCCTGTTCCACCATTTAATTAGATCATGGCTGATCTGTACCTCAACTAATCCTTTCAATTCCAATTTTCCGCTTTCTCCCCATATCCTTTAATACCCTGATCTACCAAAAATCTAGATATAGGGCTTTTCATTTTGCTGAGACGTCTCAAAGCACTTGACAATGCTGGGTGGGCACCCAAGCTGTGGTGGGGTTTGGGGGATATTTTAGGGAGAAGAAAGATGACAGGAAATGCAGTTAAAGAGAGAGGTACTGAGCTGTGCCTTGAACAAAGGAGGGAGCAAGTCAGAGGGTCTGCGGGATAGAATTCCAGAGAGTGCTGGTAGAAAGCCCATTGCTGATGATGGGGTATATAGGGTGGGGGACATGAAGCTGGGTGATACCCATTGAGCGAAAGGAAGAACCAGGTTGATGTGGTAGAAGGAAGTTGCAGAGGGAGAGTGGAGCGAAACCCTGGAGGGATTTAAAGGTGATAAAAAGGATCTCGAATATGACACTATTCCGAAAAATAATCCCAGTGATAATCCTTGCATTTGATATAATGCCTTACCACTTCGTTGAGACATCTCAAAAAGCTTCACAGTATATATTGTAAAGTGGATAACTGTGCATTTGATGGTCGAAATGTGGTAGCCAATTGCCCACAGCAATGGCCCACGAACAGTTAAGAATTGAATACCCATATTTTTTGGTTGGTGGGGGTGGGGGGGATTATTACCCCTGGAAAGTGATCTGCTAATCGACTAACAACCGAGTTCCTACTTACTGCTTGGTAATCAGAGACGTGTGGTGGAAGGAAATTTGCCCAAGGAATCAAACCCAGGTCCTCTGTCTTGTGACGCAAGCATGCTAACCGCTATGATACAGGACTGCTGGGGGATAGGGAACCAATTTGAGTAGAGCAAGGATGGGGGTGATAGGCGCCTGGAGCCTAATGTGGATGACGACATGGGCTGCAGAATTCTGGACAGTTGTACATGCCAGACTCCCCAGCTCTTCCATTCACAGGCTGCTGCAGAGTTTTGATAGTCTGCAGACTGTGTAGGGAAGAGCTGGGGTGTGTGACATATACAGAGTCTTGGTGTACTTAAGCCTGGACGTAACAAGCGCAAGGATGAGGATCTTGGTGGCCCAAGGCGAGAGATAGTGGCAGAGATGAGTAAAGGTTTGCTCCAAAGTACACATTCACTCACTTTCGCCCACAATTATACGGTCAATTCACTTTACAGTCTATTCTGTGAAGTGCTTTGAGATGTCCAGAAGACGTGAAAAGCGCTATATCAAATGCAAGGATTATTATGATTATTATTTACAGTAACATCTTGTGAAGTGCTTTGAGGTGTCCTCTAGGTTTTATCAAATGTAAGGATTCTTATTCTTATTAAACTCGGGTGTCAAAATAAAGTGTGGGATGGGCTCTTAAAGGTAAGAACTCAGCAGAATTGATATGTTTTTTTGTATACATTTGAAGTATTCTTCTGTATATATACTTTCAGACGTGTGTTCAGGAACAAGAAAATACAATGTAACACTATTTTCCTCTTCACGGAAGACATCCAGGTTTTCCAGCCCAGGTTCCTAGAAGCCAACAGTGATGGAGAGGCCACACTGGTGTGCAGTCATGACCACACAGGCCATGCAGTGGAGCTCCAGGTGACCATTCGTAAAACGAACCAGGAAGAAGTTTGCAATGGCACATATAACTCTACCACCAAACCGTTTCAGACCAGAGCGCGCTTTCACTGCTGGATTCAGCCTGGAGAAGGCAACGTCTCAGTGACCATCTATGGCTTCAACTCTTCAGCCATTGACTATTATTTCTGCAAACTGGAAAGAGTACACCCGCCCGTCTACCAAAGTGGCATTGGAAATGGGACTTTGATCTACATTGCAGGCAAGAAACATCCATCCTGTAAGTGGGATATCATTTATTCTGACCATAACATTTATTGAGGCACCAACTTAAGTTGGGGAAAGATATACACTGTGCCTAATCCTAACCAGGGCAACAGTGTGTATGTGTGTGTGAGTGAGTAAGAGACATAGAGAGATGAGGACAAGGTCAATTGAGATATCCTATCCCAAATTTATGGGGTATGGAGAAAGCGACGGTAAATGGGACTGAAGGATTGCTCGAAAAGAGCCGGCACAGACATGATGAATTGTATGACTTTCTTCTGAGGGGTTGGGAAGGGAAAGATAACTGAAGGTGCGATCAAGGTGGAAGATCTACTATTAGACTTTATTGTTACAGCAAAGGGATGATAACATTTGTCGAGAAATGTGTTGGTTGTGGAGGGCACTGTATCAATGTAAGTTACTGTTGTAGTTGTGGACAATTTGGGAAATTAAAGAGGCAATTGGATGACAGTGAAGGAGATGGGGGTATGTGAAAGAGGGAGACTAGGTATTTGAAAATAGAATTAGCCAGATGGAACAGTGGTCCTTTCAGTACGTGTGTATTCATGTGAGTTATATCAGGTCATTGTACTTGAAATAATGTACAAATGTACAGATGTTTTTATATAAGCAGCTGGACAATTGATCAGGATATTCTGTGGCACTAATGCTTATACCCTGTGCTGTTTGTCACACCAGTCATCCCACACTTTCCTGTATCTACTTACGAAATCCCAAGTGATATGCAATATTACAGCAAACTGTGCCCATTACAGTAAAGGATCTAACACAAGAAAGAAACCTACATTAAACTGATTTTCTTCTCTGTTTTAGCTGCAGCTTTGGATTTAAAAGATCAATTATTCCAGGTCACTCTTCTTCTGGCTGTATTTGCTTTCATCCTCCTCATATACAGCATTGCCATAACATTTGTGCATTTCCACTCTAAGGTAAGTGAGTAGAATGAAGCCTATGTTTGTATGATGTAGATGTAGAAAAAGTAAAGCACTTCCTTTGACTTACATGGGGAATGGAGAAAAAGTGGGTAAATGGCTGTGAAAGGATTGGTCTAAAAGAGCCCAGCACAGACAGTCCTATGATGGCTCAGTCGGTAAAGCCATAGCTCTGTGCAAAAATGAGCCAGAGAACCAGGTCTCAGGTTTGACTTGCGGTTGGTGCTGAGTTAGCTGGAGCAGCAAGTTACTACAAATTGTCCTTGGAGCCCTGAGCTAGTGATGAGAGAGGAGGGAAATAAAGTCATCCAGTTATTCCCACCCTGATTGGTATCCAGGTGTTTTTTACACCAACAAATTGTCACATTTATTACATTTATTGTTTTACATTGGAAGGACGTCGCAAGGCACTGAACAGTTAAGGGTGTCTCTGCTGTAAGTGATGAGGTTGGTGAGGAGTGGGCTCGGCTGTGCTCATCCCCATGTCCAAACTCACATCTGAAGACCAGCTGCCCTCTCAGATGCGTCCCCAGCACAAGCCCACTCTCCAGGAGCAGGGCACAGAACTGCAAGGTTATGAGGAATCAGTGCCACATTTCCTATCCAACCGTCCTCATCTTGCTCCTTTGAATGACGAGTGGTGAATTAACAGCAGTATGGCACTGGGAGCCCCCACCCACCCAAGTTGACTTCCCGCACAAAGGAGATTTTCATCTTATTAGTCGGAGGATGAGTTTGAACACGGAACCCAGATCTCAGATTTAAAAGACTGTGTGGTAATCGGCTGGGCTACCCAGTTTGTTCAAACTTTCTCTTTCATTGAAACCAGTTCTCATCGACTTTGCAACCTAATCCACCTACAGTAGATTTCCACCAGCTTTATTCGGTATTGACCACAATGGTCTTTCTCTGCATTGCTGCTGCTCCAACACTCAAAGACTCTGCAGACTCTTGAATATATTTCTGCACATGGCTGAGTCATGAGAATACAGTACACTCAATACAAACCGAAATAATCGCTGCACATATTAAATGCTGCTCCTCCCACCTGTCTGCAAAGTTACATACATCATCATAGTGTGTAACATGATGAGGCGAGGTTGCAAGGACCTACTGATTTTATTTTATTTTATTTTCAGAGGGAAAAAGGAACCACTACTGAACTGGACCACAACTCTGTCTATGAAAAGATGGCCCCCACCGTGAATGGAGACCAGAGCAGGAGAAATACCAAAACACCTAACCTTGTCGGCTCCCATCACAGACTCGCGTAAAAATAATTCTTCTTGTACCTGATAAGGCACCTTACCAAAGTCTAAACCTCTCAAAGCGCAACACAATGATTTTCTGTAAAGTGTATATTGTTTATTTGTTGGCAAATGCAGCAGCCAATTTGCGCACAGCAATATCCCACAAAGAGGTAAGAAGTGAGTGAACAATTTTTTTTTTACCCGGAAGAATGTTGACCAAGACACTGGGAGAAACTCCCTTCTCTTTTAAAAAAAAATGCACTGAGATCTTTAATGTCCATTTAAACAGGCAGATGGGACCGAGGTGTAATGCCTCATCCAAAAGATGCAAGTCTGACAGTGCAGCACATCCCCAAGACTGATTGGAATGTCGGTCTAGTCTGAGCTCAAAGGCTTGAACCCACAATCTTCTGACCCAGAGTGCTACTGAGCCAGGCTGACATAAAGCTGAAGAACAACAACAACGGGGGGGTGGGGGGGGGGAAAGGTGCCCGTAAGCACGGTCGAAAAGGAGGGTTTTCAGGTGGAACCCGAAAAGGGGAAGTGAGGGGCCAAGACGGAGGGATTGAGGAAGAGCGTTCCAGAGTTTTGGGGGTGCAGTGGCTGAATGCCTGAATCCACTGGTGGGGGGTACAAGGGACAAGCAGGACTCTAGTGCCAGTCGAGCGGAGGTGCCGGGTGGTGGATTGGGGAGTGAGGCGGTCAGAGAAGTAGGGAGGTGCCAGGGAGTGAACAACGACAGGGGATGAGAATGGTAGTTAGGAATGGATATAGAATAAAACTCCTCTGCCCTAACCATCAATATAAAGATAAGAAACCTCAGAAGTTGCAAATCTGATATAACAGCAGAAAATGCTGGTAATTCCCAGCAAGTCAGTCAAAATCACAAAATGATTATAGTCAGGTCACGCACAATGTGCCTACAAACACACAGCCACTATACTTTATAGCAAATGCTGTGAGACATCCAACATGTATTTATGTAGCATCCTTCACGGTAGTATCTTGGAGTCTCGGCATGCTGACAGTAGAAGCGTCTCAGAGCAGTAATCAATATGATAAGGCGTTAAATCAAATGCAAGGATTACCAAATGTAAATATTCTTATTATTATACCTAACCTTAAAAGAGCATCAGAGTGACGTCCAATTGCCTCACCATCCTTGTGGCATCACTGACTGGAAATGTCGATTAAGTGGTGTCTGTGACTTAGCGTATTTTATTTCATCAGACTGGGGAGGATTCAAACCAAGTCTCCAAGATGAAAGGACAGTGTGTTTCTGCCTACCACACCTTGCAACAATAACAAATTGCATTTGTATAGTGCCTTTCTTGTCAGGAGGACATTCCAAGGTGCTGGATGACCGAGGGTTTGCCCCTGAACTTGGGGTTGGATTCAAGGGTGGGTGGTGGTGGGTGGTGGGGCAAAACCAGAGAGGGCTTTAAAAGTGAGGACAAGGATCTTGAACTTGATCCTCTGGGGGATGAGTGAGAATGGGATGATAGACTCACGGAGCTTGATTCAGGAGAGGACACAAGCTGCAGAGTTCTGAATAATCTGCAGCTTGTGGAGGGAGGAGTTGTGAAGTCTGGTGAGCAGAGAGTTAGCGTAGTCAAGCCTGGACGGGATGAAAGTGTGGATACTGCGTTCATGTTAATATAAAGTATGCAACAAGAAAAAGCCATTAAATAGTATTTGCTCTCTCTCTCAATTGATGCCCTTTATTGTGTTCTTGTTTTGCTGCACACTCCAAGCTTAGTTGCTGTTCTGCTTGTTCAGCATTAGTTAGTGTGTATTTTGGCGCTTCCTTTTATGCAAAAGTTAGTTTAGTACAACTTTTTTGGTCACCTGGGTGTCTGCCATATGGGGAAACCCATCACCATGTTTAAGAGTATCCCAACCAAGCTAAGAATTCCATTTGTGCTACCTACACATGGCAATTCTTATGTTTGTAATGCGTACTTTCTCTGGGGAGGTTTGCATGTTGCTTACCTAATTTCGGAGAGTATCAGGCACAGATTGGCAAGAGCTGAGTCTTGGGGGCCCCATTGTGTGCGTTGGGGTAACTACTGAGTTAACTACCAAGTCCTACATATAAACCAGGCTGGCAGGTCTGTCATTAGCAATGCCCTGGAGTACTGTGGACACACCTGGCTCAAGAACCCAACTACCAAAACTGCCTCAGAAGGTTGACTCCATTCCGACATTTTGTTGCAAAGCATATCACCTTGGAACCAAGTTTTATGCAAGTGCATGCTCTTAAGACTGTTGTGTGATCATAGTTTCTACATCATATTTTCTATTTCTTGTATCGACTTAAAAAATGTATCACAATAAAAATAAAAGTAATGTATGTTTGTTTTACACTTTAGATGAATTTGACAATTTCACTTTCATTGTCCAATTTAATTTCTATTTCATTGACATTTCATGGCCGTTTCATTGTGTGCCAAAAAAAGACCCACTGAATAAGCCTAGAATTTCATGACTACCAGAGAACGGTTTTCCAGCCGTCTGTATAAAGAAAGAGCTTTGGGTTTGTAATGGGATTAACTTCACAGACCAGCAGAAATGCTGGGGGGGAACATTGTCAGAAATGCCATCTTTCAGGTGAGATGTTAAACCAAGGTCAAGTCTGCCAGTTCAAGTGGATGTTAAAGATCTTATAGCACTATTCAAAAAGAGAAGGGATTTCCACTGCTGACTTGACCAACAATCCCCCAGGTAGAATTGGCCATTCACTTCATGGCTGTTTGTGTGAACATCGATAGTGTGCAAATTGACTGCTGACATTCACCGACAAATACATAGTCACTACACTTCAAATTATAATTCTATGAAGTGCTTTGAGACATCTCAACGATATAATAATAATAATCCTTGCATTTCACATAGCGCTTTTCAAGTGTTCTGGACGTCTCAAAGCGCTTCACAGAATATGCTGTAAAGTGAATTGACTGTATATTTGTGGACGAAACATGGGAGCCAATTCTGCACAGCAGTGTCCCACAAACAGTCATGGACTAAAGTGACCAATTTATTATTGTTTTCATCCTGCATTCATGTCGGAAGGACGTAAAGGTGCCATATCAAATGCAAAGATTCCATGAATTTATAGATAACCACTGCAGTATAACCTGAAATCTAGGAAATGCGTGCATAACGCCACAAGCTTGGGTTTTCTAACTCTCTTGTTACTATATCTGTGAAGCTTCCTGTGTTTTATATTATTTAAGTTATTTTATATATTTTTCATTATAAACCTGCAGCACTCCCGCCAATCCAGTTCTGTCCTCTTTGGACCAGGAAGAAAACATGATCTTGGGTTAAGTTGTCACAAAATGTCACATTTTATTATATTCGCCAACTATGAAATTCTATGGAAACCAGATTGTACATATCTTGTCTGCGGTACATTCTGTTCCAACCTAAATGTAGGTCAATAGTGGTGATAATCTCTCAGTCAGTTGTTTTCTACCTCTTTGGTGTGATTGCTGTTGTTAATCAGGGTTGATAATTTGATGGTGTGTAAGAGCAAAACCAAAGGCGACAGAATTATTTAATGTTAAAAAGCCTTGAGAGGGACTAAAGATTATGCCTTTTTTTCAAAGCAATAGATATGCGGAGCACATTCCATAACAAACGACATTGATGACATGTCAATCAACTCCTTCTGTCTGGGAATGGTATTGGAAAATACAGATATTATAAATAATCCTTGCAATTGATATATAGCACTTTATCATGCCATCGATATCTCAGATTTTACTGTGAAGTGCAGTGACTGTATTTCGGAAAGAGAAGTGAGTTTCTCCCGGTGTTCTGGCCAATAATTTCCCAAATAAAAAAAATTGGTCACTCACTCCATGGCTGTTTGCGGGACACTGCTGTGCTTAATATTGGATGCCACGTTTTGCCCATAAACTACACAGTCACTACACTGTAGAGTTTATCCTGTTAAGTGCTTTGAGATGTCTCGATGATGTGATAAAGCGCTATATCAAATGGTAGGATTATTATTATTCCTGTGTAAGCACCGTTGAGGTCTCTCTATTGATACTGAGATACCAGTGCTGAGATGCTAAACCTGATGGTGGCAAGACTATTCCTCAAATAGAGTTTTGTGAAACAAATTCTGCGATCTTTCAGTGCTAGCGTGGCTCACCATTTTTAGCCTTTGCTTATGTACTACCGTCCCATTTAAAACCTGCCGTTGCTGACCAAAGCCCTGGAACGCGTTGTCGCAAACCAACTTTGCTCACACCTCGCCCTCCACTCCTTACTCGAACCCCTCCAGCCGTTTTCTGCCCAACCCGCAGCCCGAGACAGCGCTTGTCAAAGTAACAAATGATGTCCTCTCTTTCTGTGACCAAGGCTCCTTTTGCCTCCCAGGCCTCTCTGCTGCGTTCGACACAGTCGACCATACCATCCTCCACCATTGCCTCTCCTCCCTCATCACCACAGTGGGACTACACTCGCATGGTTCCAGCCTCCTCCGCCAGACCCTCCATCCCACTATTGGAGTCCGTACTTTCAGCCACTACTCCCTAAAGCTGTGGAACTCTCCCTCAATCCCTTTGCCTTGCCCCATCTCTCCGCATTTTCAGGTCATACTTGAAGACTTTCCACTTCGGCTGTGCCTACGGTAACCTTTCTTCTCCCCCTGGCTGGACAGCTGACTCCGCCACTGTTAAGCACTCCAAAATGCCGTCCGGGGTGAAGGGTGCTATGTAAATGCAAGTTGTTGTTGTTGTATAGGTTTCACCCCGACTGAAACAGGATTTTACTCTCCTATATTACATAAAAAATAGCTGACAGATAGAAACTTGAAATCATAGAATCAAGAAGTTCCACTTCTGGTGTTAGTTTGCTGATACTTAAAATGTCACTTAAGTCTGAGCAAAACAAGAAACCGCTTGTCAGATCATATTGATAAGGTCACAACTACATCATGTCAGGAAACCGTCATTGATCGACTAAGTCGCTAACCACAATACGTTTGAAAACTTCACAGAACTAGCAAGTTGATTGCTTTTTTTAACCTATTAACCATTTTTGGTATCTTAACGGGAAAAGTTCAACCACAGGGTGATTCACTGAGAGTTGTCCCTAAGCCATG